GAGGGCCGCCCCCGCCCCCCGGAGGCCGGCGGGGCGACCGGGCGCGCCAAGGGGGGCGGCAGGGCGGCGGCGGGGCTCAGACGGATGCCGAGCCTCTCCATCTCAGAGCCGCGTGAGTCACGCACCGCCGCCGCCCAGCCGTGATGCGCAACGATCAGAAAAAGCCGGACCCGCCCCCAGTACCAGGAACGGTGCTCAGGGGGCGGGCCGGCCGTGTCTCCAATAATGAGCAGGCTTCTGGCCTCCTCCCGCTCCCGCACGCCGAGATGAGGAGACGCGTTGAGCTGAGCTCTCAGCTCCTCCAGCCAGAGCCGACGCCGCGACGGAGGCGGGACGCCGACCTCCTCCTCCTCGTCGTACTCGACCTTCACGGCGACCGCGTCCGGTACCGCCTCCGTAGCCGCCCCCGACGCCGCCGCCGCGCCCGCCGCCGCCGCCGCCGGAGTCATGGCCGTCGGCACCACCAGGCCGGACTGCATGAGTCGGGCCACAACCGCTTCCACGATGGAGTCCTTCAGCTCCTCAGTATCCGCCGCCCGCACCGAGGCCGCCCGCGACCGCGTCGCAGGCGGCTGACCTTGACCGCCGTTCGATGTCATGTGACCGCCGGTAATCGCCCACCGAGTCCGGCAGGTCACGAGCACACACGAGCACGTCTTTTCTCGGCTCCGCCGCCGCCGAGAAAAGACGTGCTCGTGTGTGCTCGTGACCTGCCGGACTCGGTGGGCGATTACCGGCGGTCACATGACATCGAACGGCGGTCAAGGTCAGCCGCCTGCGACGCGGTCGCGGGCGGCCTCGGTGCGGGCGGCGGATACTGAGGAGCTGAAGGACTCCATCGTGGAAGCGGTTGTGGCCCGACTCATGCAGTCCGGCCTGGTGGTGCCGACGGCCATGACTCCGGCGGCGGCGGCGGCGGGCGCGGCGGCGGCGTCGGGGGCGGCTACGGAGGCGGTACCGGACGCGGTCGCCGTGAAGGTCGAGTACGACGAGGAGGAGGAGGTCGGCGTCCCGCCTCCGTCGCGGCGTCGGCTCTGGCTGGAGGAGCTGAGAGCTCAGCTCAACGCGTCTCCTCATCTCGGCGTGCGGGAGCGGGAGGAGGCCAGAAGCCTGCTCATTATTGGAGACACGGCCGGCCCGCCCCCTGAGCACCGTTCCTGGTACTGGGGGCGGGTCCGGCTTTTTCTGATCGTTGCGCATCACGGCTGGGCGGCGGCGGTGCGTGACTCACGCGGCTCTGAGATGGAGAGGCTCGGCATCCGTCTGAGCCCCGCCGCCGCCCTGCCGCCCCCCTTGGCGCGCCCGGTCGCCCCGCCGGCCTCCGGGGGGCGGGGGCGGCCCTCTCGCCCGTCCGGACTGCGCGCCCCGTCCGGGGGGGGGGGGGCGGCGTCGGCGGCCGCACCGCGGCGCAAGAATTAGGGCGGTGCTGCGGGCGGCGTTCGGGGCGACGGTTCCGGTGCCCCTTTCCGGCCCCTCGCCGCCTGCGACATCTCCGGAGCCGATCTCGGCCGGGGACGGCGCCCCGGCAGCCCTGCCGGGGCAGAGTACTGGAGCTGATGGCGATCCCGAGGACATCTGTCGGCGACTCCTTCAACTGTTGCTGACTGAGGACGGCGGCGCGCCGGTGTCGCCGTGGGCGGCGTCGGCGCCGGCTGGCGACGCGGCGCTGCCGGTGGCCGGCGACGGACGGTGGGGGGCGGTGCCGGAGGATCTGCTGCCGGTTGGCGGCTCGCCGCTCGGTTTCGTCGGCTCGCGTCGGCTGCCGGTGGGCGGCGGCTCACGGGTGCGGCCTCCGCTTCGAGTGAGAGTGGACCCTGACGTTTTTTCAGCGCACCCTCGCGTGCGTAGCGTTCTCAGCCGGGGCCTGAAGGTGCGCGTGCCGGCTACGGTGCCGGCTGTGTGGCGGCCGACGCAGGTGTCGCCATTAATGACTCAGGCAGTGGCGGACTTTGTGGAGGCTGGTGTTCTGGCGCCTGGACGGCCGAGGGCGTGCTATAGACTTTTTGCAGTTCCAAAGACGCCTGGTGTGGCCCGCGCCGTTTACGACCTCTCTGTGCTGACGCCGTACATGCCGCGCCGTCAATGTAAGCTACCGTGTGTCGAGAGGGCCCTTCAGGCGGCCGCTGAGGGCTACCGTTTTGCGATAAAGCTCGATTTGAGGGACGGCTACTACCATATTCCGTTGTCTCCGGCGGCGTCCGTTTATTTTGGTGTCCTATACAAGTCAAAAACGTATGTTTTTCGAAAACTGCCGATGGGTTTGAGTACAGCCGCTAACGAGATGCAGTGGTTCGCGTGTGCTACAGTTAAAGTCATACAGGAGCGATTTCCCGGTGTTATTGGTCTAGTTTATTTGGACGACTTTTTATTCATGTCTCGCTGTGCCTCACATTTGTCCGGTATTGCTGATTTTCTTGTCAATATAGGTTTTCAGTTGAACTATGCCAAGTCGATTTTGTCGCCTGTTTCCAGACTTGTTTATTTGGGTGTTGAGATCGATCTCAATGCCGGTTGCACGCACGTGGCGCCCGACACCCTGTGTCAGCTGCGCGATGCGCTGTCCGTGTGTAGCGAGCAGTGGCCTGTTTTGTGGCGTCAACGTCTGGCGGGATATTTGAATTTTGTCAGGCCATGTATAAAGATTCCTCTGGAATTAGTGCGCGCGGTTCATGACGGAGACCGTCGAAGTTGCATTGCGTCATTGCCATTTATTACTGATTCGTCACCGCTGACGGCCGCCGATTTGCTCAATTGTCGCGAGGTTCATGAGCGTGCCGTCTATGTCGACGCGACACCTGACTGCATTGGCATCGTTCAACAGGGCTGTTTACCCGTCTCTATTAATTTGTCTGTGTCGCTTCCTATTTATCTTGCCGAATATTTGGCTGCGCTAACGGCTATTTTGTCTCGTGATATGTATCGAACAGTTTTGTATTCGGATAATTTAGGAGTTGTTTTTAATTTACATAAGGGTCGGTGTCCGCGTCCGTGGCTGGCGATTTTATTTTTTGTGTTTAAATCGCGCGCATTTTCTGTTCAATATGTTCCCAGTCATGTGAACCCCGCCGACGCAGCGTCACGTGGTTTTCCCACTGCCTGCCGCAGTGCGGTAGTGGGTCGGCCAATAGCGGGTTGAGCTGCGCGCGCAGCTCCCCGCCACTCGTGTCGGCCAATGACAGGCCGGGTAACTGGTTGGACATGTCATGTTAGCATGGGTATCAGTTACAATACAGATTCTCGGCTCCGCCGCCGCCGAGAAAAGACATTTATCCGGGAACCGTTTATCCGGGAACCCATCTCCGCGTCTCCATCAGAATTCGTTACGTAAAGGGGACCCGAAGCCGCATCACATGACAGGCTTCTATCAAGTATTAGCACCTTTCTTTTAGCCTCATCATGGGCCATGGGTGTCCCGGTCTAACGCTATACTGTTATCCAAGCTTGGTGACCGGCAGAGGAAAGTGCCGCGAGAAGCACACGTTATGACGTCACTGGAGGACATCCGGGTTACAAATGACGTCAGTGGATGAAGACGCGACTCCGGGTCCGAAAGATTACATTACCGCGGTCCCGATCGGTGTAAAAATATCGGTCTATTAGTAATGGTGATACCAATACATTCTAAAACAAGGTTATCTCTTACATAATTCCCATTGGAAGGGTTTGGCGTATCCGCATAAGAAACCCGTTCCATGACAATGTTACCAATGCCAGCTGTCAGAGAATGTGCTATTCATGGCCCAACCTCCATTCGAAAAGCCCATAAAACCCAGCGATATGGTCTGCCAAAAGCCGTTTTACTATTGAGGAACTCGACCCAGACTCGGTTCCCTTGCGTCGCCTTCCACATGACATATATAGTGCGCGACACATCATCAATTCAGCTCCATTTCGTCAATGGCAACTACCAGAAAACCCTGCCAGCGACGCGAGTGATTCTGGAAACTTTTCACGCAGCACTGACATTCAACTGCTCTTATGCGGGCTCAGGTCAAAAGCATTGGACAGACTGATATGGCCATCAAACTTGACTTATCGAAGGTTCATTGAGCGGAAATTTGGACGGAAGCCTGGGGCAGAGCAATGTGGGTGGTATATTTACGCAGAACCATCTCCATTCAAGAATTGTGAGGAGCACGGAGTATAAATAGAGAGGCGCTATTGAGTGTGAGGCATTCGGCGTTGTGTGATAAGAGAGGGAGAGCGGGAAAGTAGTAAAAATAGAAAAAGAAAGAAATATGAAAAAAGAAGACAGAAGAAAGAAGGAAGAGAGAGAGAGAAGGAGAGAGAGAGAGAGAGAGAGAGAGAGAGAGAGAGAGAGAGAGAGAGAGAGAGAGAGAGAGAGAGAGAGAGAGAGAGAGAGAGAGAGAGAGAGAGAGAGAGAGAGAGAGAGAGAGAGAGAGAGAGAGATACAGAGCTAGGAGTTACAATGACAATATGCAGCGAGGAAGATAAAAACAAAATAGAAAAAAATGTTTAGAAGCCCTTATTCCAGGCTGTTAAATGCCTGTTTACATCCATGAAGCATACTCATACTGTGAAATATCTGTTTGCTCCAAGCCTCTTTTTTCTAATTCCGCTCATGTGAAACGACACACATTACGGCCTTCATAAACGACACATCCCGAGGGAGGAAACCGGATAACGACCAAAACAACATTTATGGTGTCGTAAATTTCATAAAAGGTTTCATCCTCAATTTATAAAGTATACCAGCGTTTCACGAGCACAAATATCGTCTCAGCGCACTTCGCAATCGATCCTTCTCGTAAAAAGGACTCCAATCGCAAATGTTAATGATACACATCGATACTCCTAATGATAACAACAACCAACTTCTCTGTTTGTGTTAGTCTACCTCTCACTTTCTCTCTCTCCTCCCTCTCTCTCTCTCTCTCTCTCTCTCTTTCTCTCTCTCCTCCCTCTCTCTCTCTCTCTCTCTCTCTCTCTCTCTCTCTCTCTCTCTCTCTCTCTCCCTCACTCCCCCTCCCATCACCTACCTTCTCGTTTCGCCTCGATGATGTATCCTTGGATAGGTGCGTGTCCCGATACGCCGTTCTCCCAATACAATGACACCGAGCCAGCTGCCTTGGTCAACACCAGCGCACGTGGTGAGCCAGGGGAGCCCGGCTGCGGGCCAGTTGTCACGTTCTTGCTCTGTAAACAAGAGAGTAACGATGTTAACATTGAGGGCACCGCTGTTCAGGGTTAGGTCACAGGCAGCAAAGATTAGATTTGACTGTCATTTGATTTTGATTGGAGTTGACTACAATTCTGTTAAGCGTGTTGGACGCCAAATATCACAAGAGGTAGAAGGTTCATCTACTGCTCAGAGAGCTACAACATAGAACAGGCGAAATGACATCGCCTCATTAATCATTTATCGATATTTGTTTCATTATAGCCCCATGCTGTCATGGATCGGCAATAGGTCGGGGCTTGATAGTGGCATCAGGGGAATGTTAAAAGGCTGAGGTGTGGGCTGGGTGTTACAATGAATAGGTACTGAAGAGCTTGCTTGTACAGCCCTCAGCAAACTGCGTGGTAGGTATTCTTTTTTCGACAAAACCGGTGATAACTCAAAGGCTATGTTATCAGTCGGTCGGAACTCACTGCAAATAGATGCGCCATGCTCCACTTCTTCGATTAGGTCTATCACTAAACAAAGTATATGCCTTGTGTGGCAACAAAATGCAAAAGTCTGTTTTGGGGGCAAATATAAACTTTTGGATTTTGTTGCCAAACTGGATAGAAAATGAACACGATGACAATGCCAATCTAAGGTGCGAAGTCCGCGCGTCATACTGTTACGATTTCCGAGTGACCGATGGCATAGTATTCGCGTTATTCTCGGTTTTGTCGAAAAAAGAATACCTACCACGCAGTTTGCAGAGGGCTGTACATAGTAAAATTGCTGGCAGCACATATTTGCTATCCACCTGCACTCCCATACACTTGTGTCAATTGTAAAACGTTCAGTATTGGCATGTCGAGAAAGGAATCGGTCTGATGAAATCATCAACCACGAAAACACGAAACCCGCCACGCGCTCGCCCACCGCAGCGCACAGGAACACCAATATAATTTGGAGCTCTCAAACAACGGAGCACACAAGTTTTCAAATGGTTTGACAAGTTCTCAAATTATCCCGGGAACGGCTCACCCAGTTTGAATGACACCTATGCGCCGGTGGAATTTCACAAGAGACCAAACTTAGGTCTTTTGTCCGTATACTTTCCGAACACCAAGACACAAGTGGGACCAATTATGCGTACCTCGTCTGCTTTCGTGCGAGAGAAGTGATCTGACGGATGAAAATAACGACCTACTGGCTCTTCAGCAGAAATTGCATGCATTGGAAGCAGGCGCAGTGCTGACTGCTCGAGTGGAACAGTCCATCATACTCATGTGCTTCAAACATTCAACGAATGAAAGTGGATCAAGGTAAGTGCCAACAGAACCTCCGCGACCATTGGACAGAATCACGTGACCATGCCACTTGGCTCACGTGTTACCACTGTCGTCACGTGACCGGCCGCCATAAGCCGGCCGCGCCGCGACCGCCGGTCACGTGCCCACAATCGTGTGTGACGTCAGAAACTAGCCCCCGAGGCCGAGGTTGGGTGTTATTACAAAGTACCCGGCTCAAGTGTTTGAAGTTTGGCAAGCTCATGGGATTTTGAGTCCACTGCTGCCGCGTCCAAGGCGACAGCTAGTTTAATGAAACCTTGTCACAGGTTCGCTACAAATTCTGAAATCACTGCGCAAACACTTACAGTGTTCCCCTGGGACCAAAGTCCATATTGCTAACTCGATAAGAGCGTGGCTATTTTTGATTCAAAGTTCAGCGCTGCGCAAATGATGCAGCTGTTATACAAATGGGTGTGCAATTTCAATTTTCAACACATCTGTGCTAGCATTGATGAGATCAGAATTACGGAACAGTCAGGAGCTAGAAAAGTACACACACATGAACATCAACAGTTCATGTTCTTCGTCTGAATTCTCTGCCAAATCTCCTCTGGCTTCGCCAAAGCTTGCCTATCCGATCTCATTCCGCAAAACCATGTTTCTGATCCCCGTGTTCAAATCAAGTTGCCCAAAACTGTCAAATCCCTGCCGCATTGGATCCCTTGTATGAGAAAAAGAACAAGAAAGAAATAAAAAAAGAAAGAAAGGAGAGAGAGAGAGAGAGAGAGAGAGAGAGAGAGAGAGAGAGAGAGAGAGAGAGAGAGAGAGAGAGAGAGAGAGAGAGAGAGAGAGAGAGAGAGAGAGAGAGAGAGAGAGAGAGCTCGCCTTAGACCTGCTCCAGCTAGTTGATTCCCTGTAGTCCGCTAACTCATCCTAGCGAACGGAACGCTCATTTCGCTGCAGAACAATGCTCTCAGCGTAAAGGCACTGAAGTGGCTCGGTCCATTCCGGGGCGAACTAATGTGTTTGTGAGGGCCAGCTAACGTACCGGGCCCGGCCGGAAAGAGAGGGCTACCTGGCCGGTAAACAGCTTTACTGGCCACCGCTCCCTACCTCTGCTGAATCTCTCCCTCTCTCTCTCTCTCTCTCTCTCTCTCTCTCTCTGTCTCTCTCTCTCTCTCTCTCTCTCTCTCTCTCTCTGTCTCTCTCTCTCTCTCTCTCTCTCTCTCTCTCTCTCTCTCTCTCTCTCTCTCTCTCTCTCTCTCTCTCTCTCCCCTCCATCTCCCTCTCTCCCTCTCTCTCCTCACACCAGTAATAAGCTCTTTCTGTAGTCAACTTCGCACACCTGTAGTCAACTCTATCCCGCCAACAACTTTGTAACTAGGCGACGTTCTTTCCTGTAACCAACTGAAAACCGTATTCATCTTATATCATTATCAACCCTCTACCCCGTCATATAAATCCACGATCAATTCTGCACTCAGCATTCCACTCCGCTAGTCAGCCTTCCACGTAGTCAGCCTTCCATCCCGTAGTCAATCAACTCCATGCCGTAGTCAACTTACCGCTGCTGCGCCGTAGTCAATAGTCAGCGCTCGGACGGAGAACGCGTAGGACACGCGCTCTTCCAAGTTCTGTACGTAGAGGTAGGTGGTCGTCACCTTCTGCTTCACGTGCTTGCTGAAATCTGTGGGAAAGAGGAAGGTGGTGCTGTAAGACGCAATGGTCTAGAAATATAAAATGGCACACGGACCGATAAACGATTTCTTGAAGACAGAGGTTGTTGATATAACGCCTGAGGCCGATGGTCGAGGATGGAAAAAAACGGCCGGGTAGGTGGGCGGCCAAATCTAATACGTGCGTTAGCTGTCACGTTTGCACTGAGCCTTGTAAAAATATGTTAGATGAAAACTGGCGCAAAAATATCGCACCAGTGTAACACAGTTCGGGGAACGCGGCTTCGATCTTGTTTCGTAGACTCATTTGAGGCAGGATTCGAGCCAGCGGCAAACACGCAGCGAACTAAGCAAGTTAAATTACATTTGATGCCCGTCATTTCATTTCATCATCACAAAATGGCGAGGCGCGGCTGCCTTCCAAAAAACGAGAAGAGAGCTAAATCACATTACACATCCTGGTGCATTCCAAATTAATTCCGACGTCAGCAATTTGATCAATCCAAATACCGAATCAACGCTCTTGGAATCCGCACATCGCAAACACAAAAACATGTTATTAAACACGCCAATACCCGCATCATACCACATTAAACACGAGCACCTACTCGGTGTAGGTAGATTTTCAGAAAACTCATAAGCCTACCCTCCTGCCAGCCTTGCAAGTGATGCAGCCAATTATTCAAACAGGAAAAATCTGTAATCTACCGGCGATCTCCCTGGCATGCTAAGCTATCTGGCGCAGGAATACCAAATAACAGCAGATTCCAGCTATCAATGGGAGGCTTGCTTTCAGTCTGCAGTAGGGCAGACAATTTCGTTAGGGCAGAGACCCATGGCGCATATCTCTGGGGTCGTGATGGGCCTTTCGCATGAAAGGTATGACGTGCAAGATCTACGTGAGTTACAAAATGCTATTTACAGTTGCGGGCAAGTTTAGTATGCTGGCTCAGGGTCGAAACTCCAAATGAAATAGTCCGACACATACATTTGAGCGCAGGGACGTAAAACGTTTCTACAAATATAGCTGTAACCGAGACAGCTCACGTAGCAGTCAACTACTACGAAATTTTACGTCAGTCCCTCTGCCGTGAATACTCAACAAGCTAAAAAAAAAAACAGTTTCACTTCTCTCTTCCCTTATTCATTCCCCTTTATCACTCACCGTCGTTGGGAACAGCCGTTTCATATTTGACCAGATATCCGAGAATTTCTCCGTTTGGTCTCTGAGGCGGGCTCCAGGAGACTTTCAGAGAAGTCATGGTGATCTCGGAGAAACTCAGGTCACCCGGCGGACCGGGCACGCCCTGTAAAGGTCAGGTCAGAGGTCAGATGAGGTTATAGAGATCAACAGAGGGCACAGGGTACACCCAAACGTCGTATAGGTGATCGCGACGTTTACGGGAAATACAAAAGGGTTAAAAATATCAGGGAGAGGGTGATGAGAGAGATGAGAGGAGAGAGAGAGAGAGAGAGAAAAGAGGAAGAGAGGAGAAAAAGATGGGAAGAAAGAAAGAGGGAAGAGAAGGAAGCGGGAAGGAGAGTAAGAGGGAACAAGAGAAGGAGAGAAAAGAGAAAAAGGGAAGGAACAAAGAAACAGAGAGGAGATAGGCCAAATGAAAGACGAGAAAGATGAAAGAAAAGGTAGAGTAGGAGAGTGACACAGACACAAGCACTGTCGCGCTGCCTATTAGACACCAGTCATGTCCAATGACGCTTTCTCAGTAATTCGGGACGGCCATGCCGTCTCTCAGGACTATCCATCTCGTCGGAGGGAGGGGGGGGGGGGGGGGGTACGGCACGTGTCGGTGCCACGTGTCAAACCGGCACGTGCCAGTTAATGACACTCCGACGAACACGCTACATGAAGCCAGGAGACACCAGGGTGTGTAAACTGTAAACCCAGCCAGTCAGTGTGAAATGATTGCAGACAGATGAGAGGATGGTTATGGGGAAAGGCACGCTCAGCTGCACACGACTACCCGGTAAACAACACGACATTACGCACGCTTCTGGGGACATTGGATACTGATGGTATGTGCCAGTATGCGCTACGTTAATGATCACATTTCGAAGATGAGAGCAAGCCAGTTCTGATAGCAGCAGGTGTGACTACCGTCTCCTCATTTCCTATATTCTAGTTACACGCACCACCATGATGCAAGAAGCCATGAGTCTTTTTTTTACCCTACCTACGCTCTTTTCTCTGTCTTCGCGGATGGAGTGCGATAAAGGGCGACCACATCCCTCTTATTCTACCGTCAGAACATGTACTGATCTCAGGCAGCTGATATAATCTTCATAAAAACAAATCAGGATTTTGTACTTTTGAAAACAAACCCTGCGTTACCCGTTCACACCGGCAGATCTCTTCATTTTCTCCCCTGATTCGATTCCAATCGTCAGTATTCGAGTCGCATCTCTCCCCCTCTTTCCCCAAGCCCATCCCTTTCCCTCCCCTTCCCCCTCTCACCGTCAGAGTCCTCGCGGTGACCGGTCGGCTGCGCGGCCCGTCTCCAGCCGTGTTGTACCCCAGTATCTGTATGGTGTACTCCGTGTACATGTCCAGGTACAGCAGAGAGTGGGACCCTCGCCGTCCCCAGCGCGTTATCCAGCTGTTCCAGCTCGGCCGAGTCGTTAGCACGGATGAAGTAAATCTGTCGGGTGAGATAGAGATCGATCAAGGTTAGATTAAGGTCAATCCAGTCGAATGTCTGGTCTGACATGGAGTCAAATTAAGGGCATGTGAGGTTAATTGCTGTCACGGTATAACATGACAAGTAGCACGCGGCACGAGAGAAACATACTACACGCAATGTCTTGTAATTACGGAGCGAGCGAAGCGAGCGTAGTCTTTCCTTAGATTAACGGAAATTTCTGAGTATGAGCGGCCGGCCGGCCGGCCGGCCGTGGTCACGCTTTTGCGAGGCTTATATCTCAGCAACCACTTGACCGATTTACACGGGGTAATTTTTGTAGGGTAGCTTCATTCCTTCTACCAAGTATTGGACTATTCCCGATGCATGTGGGTGACCCCATATGCACGTGCCACGCGCAAAACGAAGAGGTGTCAGTTTTATAATTGTTGCAATATCTCGGTAACTACTCGGCCGATTGCGCTGAAAGTTGGCATGTAGGTAGGCACCCACTAGGCACTGCATATCCATGTGCCAGAGTTGGGGTGCTGCTGCACGTGCGCACGTGCAGGGGTCGTTTCCAGATCTCGAGAACGGCTGGACCGATGGCGCTCAAATTTGGTACACGGTTAGGGACCAGTTAGTAGGGTGCCGTGCACAAGTCAGTTGGAGGTACCCCCTCGAAATTTCGCACGTGCAAGGCTCACCCTCTCGCTCGCTCCGTTAGTCGCCCCAAAAGGCGCTATACTGGTGTATTTATTATTGCGTTACCGCGTTATGTGCGTTTATGGAAGGCAGTACGGGCCTACCAACCGTCAGTAGGGTTGTGGGCGAGTAAGTGAATCTGGCACAGCTGTAGACGAATGATAAACGCGCATATGTATCACCAGCTATAGACAGTAGACACAGTGAAGGGACACGGCATCACGGTTCATCTTCCGCCTCATGTAAACGACTCAACACATTCATAGAATAAGAGTAAAAGCAATTACATGAGTGAAGGGTGTTTCTTTTAGTATGGTCTTGCACAAAAATCAAAATGAGGTATTCTTCATGGTTATAGTCATAAATGCTTTCTTACGTCCTGTTTCCTACGTTTTAAAGCGATACGCATGTCCCAATTAACTATTTCTCTAGATTTAGAATTGATTTCTAAAGATTCCGCACTCGTCACTCGGAAAATAACTAGATGCCGGCAGCGCTCTTGCGTTGCCTTGGGCCAGAATTGGAGGAACGGTACTGACGGCACACACCGGGCCAAACCACCGAAACCCAGACTGAGCTTGGACTGAACCTGAAACCAAACGAAACATCCCAAAAATGCTTCGAAGCACGTGAGATTGGTGCGGATATCTACCTACAGTATGGTATGAATTAACTGCACGTGCATAGTTCATGTCCCAGGCACCCCAGTGCAGTCATTTTCATAACATCATGTAGCGTGTGTCTAGTTCTATCAGTGTACCGACTTTTGTGTCGCTAGATCGACGTTTCCCGGGATCAGAGGATCCCTAGTCAAAACCGTTATCCGCCCCCCGCACGCGCAGCTTGCACCCCTCGGATATTATCTCGCCGGAATGTTATGACTCAATGTATTCTTCTTATGACCTGCAAGTTTTGAACCAGTTAGAGCGGCCGTTTACCCTGCAGGCGTGGCAACGCACGAAGGGGTGCAATCGGCTTGCACGTACATAGCTCATGCACCGCAGAGTTTAGCTCAACCAAATGTGCACTATTTTGGAGGCCTTGCCTGAGACTACCATTGAACCGATTTTGAGGTTGATAGCTCAAAATTTCTTTGAGCCAGAGGACCTCACGTCAAAACGGTTTTCCGCCCCCAGCACGTGCAGCCTGCACCCCTCGCAGACGGTGACCCCCCTGGAAACTGGTTCAAGGTGTTACCGATGTGTCCCGCCAGTGTGGCGTTGTCCGTGACCTCGGGTTGACCTGTAGCCTTGACAAAAAATTTCGTGTCACCGAAACTTTGAAGCGGAATAGCATGTGCCACGAAGCACTGAGCGAACCGAGGCCAGTACCAAAAGTTTACCTCGCCGGAGACGAGTCGAACGGTCCCACTTTCGTCCCGATCGGTCCACCCATTTTGACTCCAGGTCCAAAAAAGCTTGGACAAACTCACTCACATACTCACTCACACACTCACTCACATACTGACAAACAGGCTTGGCCGAACTTTTCTTCAGCGACCCACCAATGGGAATTTCCGGATGCAAAAGCATGCTATCGCATGCTTTTGATCCTCCAATTCTGGATTAACCTATCTCAGCGTATTGATGCAGACAAGCTGATTTCGGAGTACCACCGTATGGGTTGGATTCTCAAAACGACAATGGAAATCATGAATATGGCCTCGCGAGTAACCTAACACGGTAAATCATCAACACATTCCTTATAGGATGAGCAGCACACACACGGGTACACATTACCCCATACGAGATTTTCTAGGGTCTCTTTGTGTCCGTGAACTCTCTACCGGCTCCGCCGGATCACAGGACAAAGCCAGAACTAATTACAACGAGCGAAACAAAGAGTCTGGATCAGAGCTATCATCAAAGGCGCAGCAATGGGCTAAGAGTAGCCTACCGAAGCCCGAACGGAGCCTCATTTCATTACTATTCGTTCGGCGATATTGTGACATAAAAGAAAAACGTCGATCCTTACTAATAAGCTCGATGTCCGGAACAGTCACGAATTTCATCAAAGAGACATCGACAAAAGCTGACACGAATAATTAACGGTGAATCGTGCCTGAGCTTACAATCCCCGTCGTCGGGAAACAAGGTCTCCATTTATCTCTATCTACAGGAGACTCCCGGGGCCGGGTTCAAAAACCACGACACCCCGCTACCATCACTACAAATCCCCGGTGTCATAAACGCTCCACCATCTCCACATTCGCAGCATTGTCACGTCCCGTTTTATGACCCACATCAGTCGCCAGATCGCTGGTGTCAGCTGCCGCACAGTCAGCTAACCACGTCACATCGCGCAGACGTCAGGTCACGTCACAGTGATGCAGCGGAGAGGACGGAGCCTCGTACATCATTCAGGACACATAGCGCTGATGGGACATCCGAGATTCAGCGACGATTACGACATCGTAGACATGCAGCTGTGAGCGAATCCCACGCGGATTTGTGGCCGGGAGCTCCTCTGTGGATAATTTCGCAACCCAGTAGATTCTAGCATTTGTTAGCAGACTGAGGAGCCAGAGAGGCCGCTATTGCTTTAGGGTACCTCCTCTCCCTTAGAAGCTGAAGTGTCACACATCTTTCAACTTCGGAAAGGGACAGCTTTGTTTGAAAAGAAGGCGAATGGAGCACGAAACAGATGCATTAAAAAATCGTAGCGTCTAGTGTAATTCGTGTTAAGAAATAACCAACGTTTTATCAAAGGAATTAAATGTGACAACAGTTAACCCCATTTTCCAAACACAACAGCACATGATTACAATATTCCCCGCAAGTAAAATAAGTGCATGCGATCAAGTGCAATAGGTCAGCATGAAACATTGAAAACACAAAGGCCTCAGCAGAGCCTTCGATGATATTCGAACTACGAACCTTACTTTCCCCTTTCATCAGACCCCAATAACCCAAAACCTACCTTGTAGCCGAGTATGTCGCCATTTTGTTTGTCTTTGGGCGGCGGCTGCCAGCTGAGACGAATCTCCGTAGATGAGACGGCCTCAGCTTGTACGTTACGTGGTTCTCCAGTGGGGAAAGCCACGCCCACCTCCACCTGTGAGAAAATTACGAGAGTAATTAGAGAACCCAACGCGACACACAGGTAGCCAGCATAGTAACGACAAGAGGAAAAGTTGTCTGTCAAAACCTGAACTGTCCTATCAGATGACAGGTTTTTCTGTCTCCGCCATTACTCTACACGATTCTAGAAAACTGTCGGTATGCATTGGGAATTAAAAAACCAGCATCAGCAGAAACCAGCAACACGACCCGACTAGCTGACCTTTTTAATCTGGCCTGAAACATGACCACTGTCTCGCGGTCAAGCCCCTTAGGAGCAGTTAAAGCGACTCTTCCCTAACTCAGATCGTCTGATGCTAATAAACCCTTTCGAATCAGCCAATGGATTTATAGTACAGCTTTACCCGCATATCGAGAGTGTAGTAAGGTAACACTAAAAGCGCTGTTATGATAGGTACAAGAATATAAACTGATATGCATGCCTTGCTCTAGTTTATGAACAAGCAACCATCATCGAATCATTCACCTCAATAACATTGAACAAAACATACTATAATATTAATAAAATTTGAAAACAAGCAACGATGTATAAGTAAACTTTGCAGCCGATATACCAGCTAACGCAGTACGTATGTAGCTATTAATAAGAACGGAAAGGAATATTTATAGAGTACCGAGGTAAACATGAATACTGGGCTACGATAACCAAATGCAACTTTATGTGCAGGGCTTTACTTATTTGCAAACAATCTTGTTTGTTAATTGGGGCTTTAGGGCACGCCGATTATTTGCAAACAATCAGAATCGACTCGGTTCACCCCAATAAAACTGAACAAAACAGGCTATAAAAAGCATGTTACAAGCAATGCTGTAATACAGAACTTTGCAAGCGAGACATAAGTTATGACATCACGCATCTTAAACAAGAACGGAAAACACCATCTGCTCCTTTTCGTACCAGTTTTTATTTTCTAGCCACTGCCTGTCCCGAATATATCTAATCAAAATGGCTTTTGTTCGGCGACAAGAGCCAGCAAAGCACAAGGTCAGCAGACTGAGACAAAACGCCATCCCCGAATCGGGAATCTTCATCGCCGCATAAAAGCTAGGCTGGCAAAACACGATATGAAATATGGCGGCAACAAAAGGGTTACAAATAATAGAAGTCATCAGCTCTTATATATCTCACCATTCAAATCAATGGCCACTCCTCTCTCTCTCCTTTCTTTTTCGCACTTTCTCCTTCAACTTTTTTCTCTCTTCTATCCTTTGGATCTCTCCCATTCCTCCCTTCTCTGTATCTCACTCATTTCCTCTCCTCCTCTCTCCCTCCCTCACTCTTTCTTACCTGGACTGGTCGACTGGGCGTTCCATCTCCCTGGGAGTTGTACGGCACCACCTGCACTTCATAGGTGCGGTGCTTCACCAGATCTTCCAGCTCCACCGCTCGGGCCTGCGGGGAAAAACAACAGATAAAACGGCAGCTCTAAGAGAGGAATGTCGATTAATCAGACCGTACGAAGACAAACATGCACGAATTACGGCCTAAACTTGCGTTCATCCTCGACCAGATTCCGCTCCTCCGTACGGCGATGTACATATTATATATTAAATTATGCCGTCTTATGTGCCACTTTCCATGTTTCACAGTTCGCACTATTCTATCTGAAAACCCAATTCGGTGCGCCACCCAGTGCAATGTTTTTCATCTCGTTCCTCCATAGTTCTCATCTCACCTGGCGCCTTCAGCCTTATCACCCCACTCTGTCGTCCTTCCCCGTCCATCAGCTGTCCAACCCTCACCAGTCTCAGCAGTCCACCGACACCGCTGGCGCCTCGTCAGCACGCAGACCCAACTGACCGTCACTACTCACATCATCCGCTCTGACGCTCCCTCCCAATTCCCTCTTATTTCTCCACGGAATCCCACTGCATAAGTCTCCCGGTCCACCGCAAACGTGGTCCACCCCAAATCGCCGGCCTGGCACCAAGCCGATTGGGTGTCTTTATATCGGATGGAGCCTCTCGGCTCAAATATTTCGGAGAATTCGGATTCCAATCTAACTTTTTCAGATTTATGACCGTGAGTTGGTGTGTTCGCTTCTTACTTTACTTACTTCTTACTTCACTCACACACGTTACTCGACAATCTCTCGAGAATATTGTGTCATCGGCGCCTCTTTCTCCACTCTTTCGCCATCCATGCTCTCTCTCTCTCTCTCTCTCTCTCCTCTCTCTCTCTCTCTCTCTCTCTCTCTCTCTCTCTCTCTCTCTCTCTCTCTCTCGCTCCCCTCTTCCCTGAAACGTATGTACGTCGTGGCACGTAGTCTTACGCTACCCTTCTGTCACCCCTCACCACCCATTTCATCCCACCGGGTGTCATCTCACCCACACCCTCTCCCACCGGGTCCCCTTCCACCCCCGTTAATTTTCCCGACTCCACGCGGTCCACATTCCATCTCCGTTTCTCTTTCCGTACTCCAATCCACTGACATTGCTCACTCACACACGTTCGCAGCACACGAGTAATCGTAATAGAACATCGCCCTGACTCGGACAGAGATGGAAGACCAGGATGTAGAGCGGGCTTACGCATAACGACTGAAGTACCGGGCGGAAGGCAACTCTATTTGGAGAGGCGTACTGTAAGGATACAGATGGGTTTTCATTTTCTGCGCGCTTCAGAGCTACTCTGACGTTTGCGCGTGGTCTCTCTCTCTCTCTCTCTCTCTCTCTCTCTCTCTCTCTCTCTCTCTCTCTCTCTCTCTCTCTCTCTCGCATCATCACTCTCTTCCACTCTTAGTCGATGAAATGGTGAAAACAGACACCAAAGAGGTCAACACGGAAGAAAATAAAAAAGCGCAGTGATGTAGTTATTTGTAGTTATAGAATAATCCATCAGAAACGGTGGCATTCCGGGCAGGTTAATGTTACAGTAAAATGTCTCTGACTCCGCAGTGTGTGCTCACTGGTGAATGTTACTAACTTTCAGAACTCAAAGCCATGGTCAGGTCAGGGTTCATGTCATTGCGGAAGGTCGCTGTACCCATTGAAGGTCAAAGGCCACGAGCAGCGAGCAGCCTTTGACCGCAGAACCAGAATATACCGGAAACACGGCCAACTTCCGCCACACGCCAGCCGCCAAATTAACAAAGTTACACCGCACTCATCAAAGGGAGAGTTAAAACGACGCGCTGGCAGCAACCACTCAGACCAAGCTTTTATAAACATTATTTACTTTCATCTACTAATTAGGTCTACATGTCTTTGACAGCATGTCCACAGCACTCCTCTATCCTTAAACACTTCTAGTCTTCTCTGCCCTTTCCTCCTTCTTCCTTTTAAACTCTATAACTCTCAGCTCCTTTCCTCTCTTCTCCTCTCTTCATCCCTATCATATATAATCATAAAGCATGCTCTCCTTTCCCTCGCCTCTCTCTCTCTCTCTCTCTCTCTCTCTCTCTCTCTCTCTCTCTCTCTCTCTCTCCCTCCCTCTGTCTCTCTCCCTCCATCCCCCTCTCTCACCTGTATATCATTGACCATCCTCTCCATGCTGCCGGCAGTCGGCGACGGAAAGTCAGCTCGGGGTCGGTACTCCACCCTGTACCCGCCTGTAACGGCGTCTCCGCTCCAAGCACCGGGAGGTAGCGGTCGCCACTCGACCCGTACAGAAGTAGTGGTGACGGGAATCACACGCACGTCGCCCACCGCACCGCGGGGCGCTGAAACAGGGAGAGGGATGAGTCATATGTGACTGTAAGCTATATGTGACTGGGGATCATACGCACGTACCCCACTGCACCGCGAGAGGCTGAAAATGAAAGGAGAGGTGTCACTAGGTGGGTTAAACATTGTGACATTATGCATAATGCATATGTGACTGTAGAGCATACGCACGCCCTCCACTGCACCGCGGGGCGCTGAAACACGGAGAGGGAGGATGAGCTAGATATGACGGGTGTCACGCTTACCACGATGGGCTATGAGAAGGGAGGAGGTATATGCGATGAGGATCGCATGCAAGTACCCCATCGTGTAGCGAGGGGCTGGAAATGGGGGTGAGGGTGGGTTAGATAGGTATGACGGATACCACGATGGGCATTGGGCTGTAAGAGCGCAGATGGAGAGGATAAGTGAGGTGGGCTGTATGGAAGTCGCACGCATGTCCTAAAAGATCCCCAGGTATCGCTGGGGCATAACAAAGTGCTAGAACTGGACCTAAATAGGCGCCACATGTGTCCGATTTTGTCACGTGGTGTCGGACAAGTAACGAAATATGTGACGGGTCTCCACTAATGTGCCAGACAGAAGCACGTTAAGATGTTAATAAGCACAGAAAGCCATTAATATGCATACGATTGAGGATGAGAATACTACCCCAAAGGTAATAATCGGTTTCGGTGGAAAATAGTTGACTCCGACTGATTCTTATATTCATTTATGCATTACCCATTGCCCAAAGAAAGCACAATCTGATCCACGATCATGTCAGAACGTACAATAAAGTTTGGTCTTCTACTACGGTCAATCGTTGATTCGTCTGCGCAAGACGATGCAATATCAACCACTGTTGGACTATTACTACAGCAATAGACTAGAGTTTTCCCCGGCGCTGAGTTTTTCCCTTTGACGCAACTTTTTATTATTATTATTATTTCAGTATACCCGACAACCACAAAGTAGTGGGCATTACGTTGGGTAGTGGTACAATCTTCATACATACACATTACACAATACACATACAGCGCACATATACACAATGTTCATAGGTACATCAAATGTTTACACACTCAGTCCACCATGATTCGCTCTGTCATGGATGTAATTAACGAATTCGGTTTTAGAACAGTTCCGTACATGATAAGGAAGGCTGTTCCACAACTTTGAGCCATGGTAAGACAACGATGTCTTTTTATATTCGGTTTTCGGAATGTCAAGGTCAAGATTATTCCATTGCCTCGTCGATCGTTCCGATTGCCGTACCTTGAAAAAAAAAGTAACGTAAAACGTAACGTAAAAGTACTTTGACGTAAGAACCCCCAGGAATCGACGGTGTAACGTCACTTTGAGGAAACTGAGGCCGCTAATGAATTCTGAGAAAGTAGAACGGACGCCAGAGGCGAGCCTGCCGGAAGCAGCGCAGAAAAATGTCAGCGAAGTTGAAGAGAATTAATTACGGCAATAAGGAGCGCTGATGGTCTTTATTGTCCTTCTCGGCTGCGTCTCAATACAATTTGTTGTAATATATCAATACAAATATGAGTCGTTAAGCCAAAGTTAAACTGAAGCATTCATCAAAGCCTTGTAACGCTTTCACGCCTTTCATGTCACAATCGAATCATACGTCAGATCTTATAATCGCAATACTCGCGCAATCAAGCCGATAGAAACATTTTATTACAAAAATAAAGAGTGTCACTGTTGGCAACTAAAGCTGTGTTCCCTTGAACGCCTTTCTCTGAGCTAGTTGCTGAGTTTATTTGATAGCATACACTGGCAACCACTTCCTCCAAAGCGTCTTCAACAGAAGGCTATGATATCACAGCTTTCCTGGCATCCATTCGGTCATATTGGTTTTATTACAAAATACCACAATAATATGTGTGGAATAAAGCAATATAAACGTTATAAGAAGTAACAATAATAAAAAACGATGAATGATTACTTTGCCTCATAAACAAATAATGCAATGTTTATAAGACGTATATCCGAGAAACTTCGAAGAACTTTGCCCTCATAAAATAGAACATTCCCGGCCAATAACTCAACGCTAGCAATAACTTTGTGTTGCATCACAAACTTGGCAAGTGCCGTAATATCCTTCCCCGGTAACCCCATCGGAAGCAGCCGTCTCCTCTAATTCAAACCTCCGGGAGCGTCCTCATTCGACGTTCGACGCAATCGGAGCGGAGCATCGTGACTCAACATTACCTCTAGCCCGTGTTGAGTCACAGTGCTCGCATAGAGCGACCGCCAGCCTTTCTGTTTGACATTTAAAGGTTTCAGTCTGCATCAGAGTGAAGTAACCGATATCTTGCTCCTGTCACACCTGTTCAAGACTCAAGGCAGCGTGGGCGGAAGCTGACGGCATAGCTCCTGGAGGGGAGGAGCGAAGTGCAGGGCTCTGACAGGTCAGAGGGCGCCCGAGGGCATCCGGTTTAATGACGCCAGCCAATCACTACACGCTGCAGCACCGGCTGAGCGCCTATTGGTGGTCGTCACAGGTAGGGGCGGAGCCTGTGGGATGCGGAATTCATGAGAGTTGATAGTGCACCCAGACACTGGGCATTGCCGAATCTAATGCAGAAGGGCTAAAGTTGACAGTTTGCTGCTGGGAATGGCGGCACCCGAGAAATACGATCCAGTACCATGAGCTGGTGGGCTTAGTTCCCGCCCAGGCTTCTTAAAACTTGTGAATATTCTGCATCAGTTCGCAGAGAGACAAATGGAAGATCGGATTCGTTTTACAGCTCAGTTTACACAGAAGAATGGACTTTTAAAGAGCCTCAGACCACCTGAGTATCGCATGTCCCTGACAGCTTCAACATCCAGATCAGAAACTTTTACAGACACTTCGCCACCATCGCTGGCCTCCAAAGACACTATCACTTCCACATTGCATCCACAGAATACATCCTAAGCGCCACAGTCCCCAGCGAACAACAGCTCGAGCTGAACTTTCTACCGTGTGAAAGCTAGCGGTCGTTCTTTGGCACACCAAGAATACCTTCTGCCTGAGACAATCCAACAATCCGCAGCCACCGTCTAGCCAGCATGACAAATGCAGCAAAGACGACGTCAATAATACCATCTGCCGGTTCTGAGCATGGGAGACTGCACGAGGCCAGACAGTGGGCCATTGTACCGTCTCGCAACTTCTGAGTGGAAGTCCGAAAACGGCCGCAACTTGTGCGACGTGATTTAGGACTGATCCTGACTTAGACACCGCCAGAGAAAGTGCCAAAGTTGGAAGAAGCGCAGCACATGAACAATGCATCGAAGGCACAAAGGTGCTCCGAATAGGATCAGAAACGACGCAAAAGAACATGTTAATAAATCACAAGTCAGGCCACGAATTTAGTGACAAGCCCGGAAGCATCAAGTAAGTCATTAGATCCAAAAAGAACCAATTTCATGGCCAAGGAACGGGAACTGATATGCATTAGGTACGGCATATGATTAAACAACAGCGGTCGCTTTTGACGGGAATATCACAAATTACTTCAGCAGTGGTAGAACATTACGCTGTGGTTGATACATTAAATATAAATTTATAACAAAGGTAATAAAAGGAACATTTGCCGACCTCTAATAATAACGAGGAAGCATTAAACCTACAGGAATGAATTGAACAAATAAGACAGCTTCTGCCTTCTTGGAAAAGTAACTGCAAACTACCCAGCATCCAGCCTGTTTCACCAATCCCTCAAATAGGAAGTTGGTCTTTCTGATCTCTTTAATCACCTCACACTTTATCAGCGTCAAGCACCACCACTGTCCAATTCTCCGAATACTTTATCGGTCCCTAATCCACCTCTTTCAATAATCTTAGCGTCTTCTCAGAAAATAATAACAGCCACGCACCCACATCCCTCGACTCAGAAATTCACAAACTATTTCTCCGAACCCTTCCCACCGCCGGCGGCGCAAAGCAGCGCACACAAAGTCCCTCTGTCTGAAGGAGTTGTTTCTGAGACCCCGCCGGCGACGCTTGGGGCGGCGGTCCCACTAAAAAAAGCGGCGGCAGTGAAGGAAGAGGAAAGTTTAAAGCCGTGGGGTGCTGTCTCGAGGGCCAAACGAGCTAGAGCGGCATAATTCAACAGTCACCGGTGTCAGATGTATTTATAAGAGAATGACGATTAAATAAAGGGAAAATGAAATCCCGCGTTTGATGGTATGTTTGAATTATTAGCTAATGTCTTTGTGAAGCATGATTAGCAAGAGATCCTAGTTGATAAAATCGCACGAGACTTAATAAAAATTATACCAAATCACTCACTCACTAACTCACTCACTCACTCACTCACTCACTCACTCACTCACTCACTCACTCACTCACTCACTCACTGTCTCTGCCTCTGTCGTTGTCTCTTGTCTGTCTCAACGACAAGGTCGTTGTCGTTGTCGTTGTCTCTGTCGTTCTCTGTCGTTGTCGTCTCTGTCGTTTATCATTTCGTATAATGAAAAGCGCCATTGTCATGCTTTGTAACATTTCGGGCAATGCTGGGGACTCGCAACAAACTCTATGTAAACGCCGCTTCTTCCTTACCTGCCGGGTGCGTTTTGACCGTTTCACTTGGATCACTCCAGCCACTTGGACCCATGTCGTTTGTGGCCTGAATCCGGAACCTGGGGAAGCAGACACAGATAAACGCACGTTAGTTGATATTCGTCAGTGATGGCATGGTTCAGAAACCTATGATACAGACAGGCGCGCAAAGAATACAAGCGGAAAGACTGACCACTCTGACCACTCCACTAAAATGAGAGCACCGACGCATTGTCATACCCAGCTTTCATGGCATTTCGTCAATGTTCTTGCATGCGTGAAAGGTTTAGAACGACCTAGAACATTTGCTAATACAAGCACATGCCTGCAGCTATACCCTACGAAAGTTTTTTTTTTCGAATCCACGATACATGCGTGCCGCACTCAAACCAGACAAAGGAGTCAAGCTAAATGCTGACATTGGCAAATTTTCACATATAACTAGACAGACGGCCATGAAAGAAGCGATGTTTAATTCAAGGGCATCACATACGCACTGACATCCACCTACCAAAGACATGGAAATAGTATAAAAAAGCATGAAATGAGCACCCGGATGCAAATAATGCTCATTTATGAGGATTATGTGGTGTTTTTGCCGAGCATATCATGGGATGGTTTTATTATGTGCTCAGGGGCAAATGCAAACGAGTAATGTGACCCGAGACAGCGATTCTCTTCTCTTAAGCCGCAATGACAATGCGAGCGCATCGGCTTTCAGAGATATCCTTAAAAAGTTAACAAGAACAAAGTCGACGACCGAATGCTCATATCTGAAACAAAAACGTCAAATACGTCAGCTAGGTTTCGTTTCCATGGATTTCATCACAGATCAGTCAGACAGCTTTCCGTTTCCATAGCAACTAGCCAGCATATTCCATCCAATCTTCACTGCCCGATTGTACGCTGTCCAGCATGATGTTTTTGCCCGTTCTGACGACATGATCCAGTGCCGTTGTAACGTTATAGACAGTCCCGGGAGGTTGTTGGCGATTGTTGGACAATTCGACGCACTGACTGCTAATTAGACGCGGCAGAGGGCCGAGGTGGGGCCAGTAAAGCTCAGTAAGGCTCATTGTGGAGGAAATGGCCTCGATCAGGAGAAACGGCGCTGGGTCTGGTACTACTTAGCCATGGCTAATTGCAGGCCATAAAGAGCCTGAGACGCGGCTTTGGTTGGGTTTGCATGGCTTCAAGGAATAGATGGTAAGGCGATGGTCTCTTAGTAGCAGATGAGCAATACATGAGCCTTTTACGCTCGATCGAGTCGAATCGTTTTGAGTTTCTTCCCAGGACAATAAAAAAATAATAAAAGAAAAGGTGCGGACGAACTACGAACATGGGAGTAAAAAATAAGTGTCAAATTGCGAGGCAACAACTGAACTGTATGCGGTTCCAATACCGACCCATAAACGAGGGCCAAACTGACCTGACAGCGGCACACAACTAACCGACACACGCGGTTTTGATAGACGAAGCTTTGAACAAACCCGTGGAAGGGACTAAAGCATGATCTAACACCGGCTCATAACTGATAAACTACCGACTTCATAACTAACCTACAGCTCGCCTATAACTGGCGCATCACCGGCTCACAACTGACACAAATGCTGTCCCATAACTGACCCATTGCCGGTTGATAACTGACCTGTATGTGGTGAACGGTTTCAGGTCTCGCACTGTGTAGGATGTAACCGCCGGATCCACGCGGTCGGGCCGGGCCTGCCAGCTGGTGCCTTCCTCCTCCAGTTGGACCGTGTAGTATCTGGGGATGAGGGGTGAGGCCATGAATCAAGTTACAGCGGTCAGGCAGAGAGAGAAATTCATCAAATATAGGTGATCGTTATGCATTTATGTAGATTGTTAGACTATCCCCAACAACTGGTGCGGCCTGGAACGCTTACAATCAAATCCTATCCTGGCATTTCTGACTCCACCGGCCTACACTCTCTTCCTCCATCCACTAAACATCCCTCACCTCTCTATTCCTTCTCTCCCTCCTTCCCATCTTCCTTCTTCCTTCCCTCCTCTTCCCGCTTACCTCAGCGGCGCGAATCCATCTCTTCCCGGTGTCCAGCTGAATGTGATCCGGTCACTCAGAACCTGACTCTGAGAGACCTGCGGGGCCGACGGAGCCTGGGGCCTCTCCCTGTTACTCGTCGTGTAGACCAGAGCCTTGGCCACCAGGCCCCAGCCGAGCCTCGAACGGGCAGAGACGGAGAACTGGTATGAACGTTCGGGCTGAAGTCCGGCGGCACTGTGGGGGAAGAGCAGAAGGGGAGGTTAGAGAAAGGAGGAGGGTTAGAGTGGATGGAAGTTACAGGGGAGGGAGAGACGATGAGGTGTATGGGATTTGTCGAGAATTAACGATTGGGATGACATTCTCAGATGTATGAGGACAAAGAACACCGTGACCTAATGAACAAAGCAATATCCCTACGACGGTACGGTGCGAATGTTACGAAGGTGTATCGTAGCACCAGCAATACAATACTGCACGTTGTAGAGTATCCTGAACAAGTAAGAAAAGCCCATCAATCTCCGAGAAAAGACATGACTTATGAAGCATCTTCATTCCGTAATACTCCTGTCCAAGACCTAAGATCGCTTATCGCACTTGAAAACGAGCGAAGAAGTCCGTCCCCCGATTTTTACTTGCCCAAAGTGTTCAATGAAGAGTCTAGAGACGTCCTTAATTGCTACTCTGTACATTGATGTGGAACATTACTTGTTCAAAGTGCTATTTATCGTCTAGCGTTAGGAGAAAAAAAAGACACTACAAACAAGTAGCTGTGCTCATTATTCTCGCACACTGAGCTTATGTCATATAAATCATGCTCTTATCGATATCATTCCGCAAAAAAAAACTGCCAACATTTCAAATCAGACGGGACACAAACAGAACCATTCCACTAATCCAATGAACCAAACAACAACTTTGTCATTGTAGTAAGCCACTACCAACCAGGGATGCGGAGCCGGAGCCGGAGTCGGCGCCGGAGCCGCCGGAGCCGGCATATTTTGCCCGGAGCCGGAGCCGGAGCCGGAGCCGTGAAACAATATAGCCCGGAGCCGGAGCCGGAGCCGGAGCCGCCAAAAAAGGGGGCGACTCCGACTCCTTTTTATTTTTTGAAGAGGAAAAAAATTATTGACCTAGTTCGGTTTGACAGTACAAGGCAGTAAAACATATGGTACTTACGTCATGGGCCATCAAGTGAATGAAAAAAGCCGAATATCCCCAGTATCCCACAGTACGCAATCAACTTCCTGTCTGCTCCTCCCCCCCCCCCCCCACGTCTACTGCATCCCCAGAACATGAGGACCGGTCATCAGGTGACGGCCATTGTTTTCAAGCCAGTGCAGTGGACTGCGACTCCCAGCACCGTCTCTTCCCACCCCACCCCCACCCCCCAATGCAGCCGAGACGGGTGTCAGCTTACGATGGTTTAGTGAACTCCGATTCGCGGCGACTGCGTTTCCGATGCCATCGCTTCCTAGTCCTTTGTTCTGCCAGTTCTCTCCGAGCAGGGTTGTGCTCGACTAAAAAAAAATTGCCGACTCGACTCATCATTCAACTTCAGAAAGCCCTAGCTGACTCAACTCTGACTCAAACAAGGAGCTGATTTTTCACTTGACTCGACTCATGACTCAAGCGGCTCAATGAAAATATGCGTTGACTCAAACTTGACTCAAATTTTTTGTTGAGTCAAGTGTGTTGACTCAAAATTGACTCAGATAAAAAAGTTGTTGAGCGAGGGGGGGTGAAAAAAATCCGGCAGCAGGGCCAGGCCTAAGTTGTTAAGCGGGGGGGGGGGGGGGAGAATGAAAAGCTTATATATTGTTTCTAGAAAGATGAGTCAGCTGACTCATGTTCCTAAATGTTTTTGACTCAACTCAATGTCAAAAGTTATTTTACTGACTCAACTCTGACTCAACTCAACACCTTAATATTATTGTCCGACTCAACTCTGACTCAACTCAACAGCTCAACATTTTATCTGACTCGACTCAAACCTGACTCATCTGAGTCAGAGTTGAGTCAAATCTCTGACTCGACTCATGAGTCAAGCAAGCACAACCCTGTCTCTGAGGTGCGTTTGCGCGGGGACGCGGCGAGCCGGTCATGGCAAAGAGTAGCGCGTATAACCAATCCATTTTTTCTTCCACCCGTATTTAATTAACCCGCGCCCTGCTGGGGGGGTGTTTGAACACCCCCCCCCTTGTGGTTTTTCGCGAATATCTCAAAAACGGCGGCGCGGAGCGCCGCCGTTTTTGGTACACCTTATCATGCATCAATTCTACACATGTTGTGAAAATTTCAGACCAAGGTCACTCAAGGTCAGGTCACCAGGTCACTTGAAGTGACCTCACCTCATAAAAAGTTTCAATGTCTGTCATAGCTACACCGAGTGACCGATCGCTTTGAAACTTTCAGCGATTGATAAGAGCAATAGCATGTACAAAATGTATATCTCAGAATTTTGATATCGATGACCTAAGGTCAGGTCAATTTTGCGACCTCCCCATTATAAGTCAATGGGAGAAAATTGAAATGCGTCTCTTTTGGACGAAAGACATTATAAACACTCCCAAACACTGAATTACAAGTGGTTTAGACACACTGAACATGAAAATGGTGTCCGTGACCCCTGTTTGTGCCCTGAGGTCATCTTAGGTCACGAATGGTATCTAACAGTTTTTCGCAAATAACTTTTGATAGAGGCATGCTAGAGCGATGAAAACACCTTAGATGTGTTCAGCTCGACGATACGGATCGACTGATATGCAACATGACCCTTTCCGGTCAGGTCATGACCTTGACCTGAGGTCAAATTTTCAAGTTGACCTTTCAAGGTCAAGTTATAGTTCATTCGATGCGTCTTGACGAGAGGAACACGATGCCGGTGAAAGTAAGCTTGTACAAGGCTTGGGTCAAAAGTTATTGCAGAAAAACTGTTTCCGAAAAAATCGGCTATTTTTGCAGTTTTTGCCCCCTGCAGGCAAAACCGTTGACGTTAGGTCAAATCTGAGAGAATTACTCAGAAAGGGCGTTAATAGGGCTATCGAATGCGCTTTTCCGCGGCGCTGTAGCTCTATTGGTTCCCGAGTTATGCGTTGGCTTCTTGGAAATTGTTGACATTCGACCTGGAAATCGGCGAAATTTTGCCTTCAATGACCTCTGGTGACCTGACCTTTGACCTGACCAAAAAATTGACCGAAGTGATTTCGTCATTATTTTTGACGCTCTTTCGAACGCCGCCTTCCGCGTATCGCTACGTGGCCCAGGAGCCGAGTTAGAAGGGGGGGGTGTTCAAACACCCCCCCCCCCCCCAGCAGGGCGTGGAAATCCAGGACCCCCAGCCGGGCGCGGGTTAATTGCATAAGGGATGTACTGAGGCGGAGCCGGAGCCGCCGGAGCCGGACCATTTTACTCGGAGCCGGAGCCGGAGCCGGAGCCGCCATAACATTTCACCCGGAGCCGGAGCCGGAGACGGAGCCGATTTTTTTCTCCGGAGCCGGAGCCGGAGCCGTCTGAAATTTCCACGGCTCCGCATCCCTGCTACCAACACCTGAAAAACACAAAGACCAGTCTCCCAACACCCACACCACCCTGCCTAAGAACTCACGCTCCTCTGTGAGTTTGCGTTCCCATACTCACGTATACGTCCTGCTCTCGGGCGGTAATTCATGTGTGATGTTGATATCGGTAGAGTCAGCTGGATGGTAGGTGACTTTATAGCCCAGCAGGAGTCCGTTTGGCTCGGCCGGCTCGTCCCAGATCACGCGAGCGAATGTGTAGCTCACGTCCGGAAAACTAACGTTGGACGGAGCGCCGGGCACTGCGGGGAAAGCGGGAGCGTCAGGGGTGTTCAGAGTCGACACGGGTATTTGACGAGGCCGACAAGTAGACTGACAATTTAATTTTTAACTCAAGAATTTCCTTTCGTATACCCTCGGGTGGATGTTGTGGGGTGGGGTAGCTGATTGCAGCATTAAATACGAGACAAAGATGGAATATGTGGATACAAGTGAAACAGAAAGAGAGAAAGAGAGGGCGAGAGAGAAATAGAGAAATGAATAAAAAAGAATAAAAAGGAGAAATCAGGAGAGCGAGAAAATTTCGTTCAAGCCCCTCCCGGTCGGACAGGGCGGATACGAGGGGACAGAAGAGCAGCAGAGCAGCACAGACAGAGTAAGTGAGCGGTCCACAGGTGCCCCCGCCGGCCGTCCCGGATCCCTGCAAACCATCATCTAGGCTCTAATAGCGTTACAGGCAGTAATGAAGCCCCCGGCATCAATCGGCGCCTTCAAGCCGCCGCCGGCAGCGGGGCTGATCATTTCCGTCCGAAGAAAAGTCCCGCGGGAGGTTGGTTCAAACAGAGTTAGCTGTTGGTGCGCACCTGATCCTACCTAGACAGGTCTCCCGGGGGTATACACAACATCCGACTACACGGCACGTCTAGACTCTCTCTCTATCTCTCTCTCTCTCTCCCGCTCCCACTCGTGATCTCTCTCTCTCTCTTTTCGTTGCCTTATACATCCCCCTAAATCGCATCTCTATCTCTCCTCCGCTTCAGAGGTGGAGATCTCGGGGGGTGGGGGGGGGGGGGGGGGGTGGGGGGGGGGGGGGGGGTCGGGGGGTCAGGACCCCCCCCCCCCCCTGAAAACGAATTACTGCTATGTAAGTCAATGGTACTGCATCCAGCCCGCCTCCATCTGCCCGGCCTGGACCCCCCCCCCCCCTGACATTTTGACAGATCTCCACCCCTGCTCCGCTTTCTCTTCTCCAAATCACTGTTCCTTCCTCCCTCTAATAATCTCCTTTGTCTTCCCTTGCAGCTCTTCCCTCTTTTACCTCGCTCTTCTCCTTTCCTCTCCCTATTTCTCTCCTCTATTCTCTCCCACCCTAGCACCCCTCGACCCTCGTCACTCTCCTCCCTCCCTCCTTCCCTCTATCCCCTCTCACCATCATCATGCGTCTGTACGGTAGCCGGTGGCAGGCTGAGCGCTCCATCTCCCTCGCGGGTCCTGCCCAGCACCTGAACGCTGTAGCGTGTGAATTTCCGCAGCTGGGTCAGCGTCGTCTGACGCGTCTGGTTACCGTCAATGTCCTTGTACTGTAGGGGGAGAGGGGGGGGGGGGTGGTCAGGTCAGGTCAGGTCGGGCACAGACATGATTCAGTGGCGCCGCAATCAGATCACATTTGCTTACACTGGTACAGCCTTTACCAAATAATCGCGTTTTCCTGACGTATTTACACTGAAAATCGTCACACAGAATCTCCATAAATAAAGAATTTCATATAGCTCCATGACACACTGCCTCTGCCAGAAACCCTAAGAATACTGTCCATAGGTGGCACCTCACAGTACTTTCCCTCCACAAAAACCCTACTAAACTATTGCCGATCTGCCAAAATACCCACCACATACCGGACCCCTAAGATGCCTTTTCCCTCTCTCTCTCCAGAACACCTCGCTCTCACTCCATCCAACCCTCCTCCGCACTTTCCCAGACGTCCACTCACCATGAAGTCGTTCCCCTTGTAGCCGTAGTAGACCCCGTAGCCGAGGATGATGCCGTTCCTCTGTAGCGGTAAAATCTCACCCCACGACACCACCACTGTAGTGGAGGAGGTAGCGTTCGCCTGCACGTTCTCAGGCCCGGCGCCGGGAGCTGCGGGGAAGAGAGAAGTAAATAAACGCAAATAGATAAAAGAAAAAGCCTAAGTTGGTTGCATAGTTATAGAAGACAATAATTGAACACCAGCTATTACTTTATTTAATGGGAGCTTTCGAAAGCTATGCAGCTTTCTTCGTCAGCCTTGGTACAAAACACCATCGACCATTAGTAACAGCGTTTTTATCAGTGTTTTGTACCAAGGCTGACGAAGAAAGCTGCATAGCTTTCGAAAGCTCCCATTAAATAAAGCAATATCTGGTGTTCAATTATTGTCTTCTATAACTATGCAACCGTCCCAGCTAAATAACAATATTTACAATTACACTAAGTTGGTTGGCTGTTACTTATGGTCGATGGCATCTTTGCTACAGTATTGATCACCAGCTTTTATCTATTTCCTCAATATTTCATAACTTTCCTTTTAACTGTATTCAAACCTTTAAGCAATAGGTACTGCTCTAGGTACTGCTCGGTTTCCAATGGATCACCAAATGTGCTAGCTCTAACTATATGCAAAATATATCAACGAAATGCGTGTAAACCCTGCTGCGTTATTCGTGACTAATGACGATTTTGCCGGTCAAGTAACCAAGCCTCAGCCGTAATAACCATACTAATCCGGCTTTATCCAGTTCCCACCAGACAAAAACTCAATATACACGCATCAGCCTCTGTTATGGCTCGAGAAATACAAATGGTTTGCGATAGCTTGAAAAGCTGGCAATCTGACTAGCGAGCAGCGAAAAAAAAATCGAAGGAAAAAAGTGGTCGCAAGTAATGAAGCATTCTGTCCATCCCTTAATCGGCCATAGCAACCAAGATTGAACGATATGGCTCCTTGCCTGAAACTTAAGTTCTTCATTCTTAGCTAGAAGGATGGGAAGCTTTCAACTTTTAATTAATGCTGATCAGATCCAACTAGAAATTGCAAGCAGTAAATAAATAAGCATGTTATTAAGCAAATAAGAATTGGCACTTCCCACATTTCCTAAGCAAGTTCGGAAGTTTAGGAAACTCATCATCTCCGCTTTCGACCACTGTTTCAATTTACGAGCGCTCGAACGCCCAATGTGTCATATAGTTATGGAAGGCACGTAACAAGTCACAGCATGGTAACGCCACATAGACGACTATGTATCACCAGCACGACTATAAAGACAGCACAAAACAAAGCACTGATGGGGGCAGTCGTATGACAAAGTTTCAACAATGACGAGCATAACCGTATCGAATGTAAGGTTCACGTTTATATAATAAAAAGTTTCCCTTACGAGTCATTAGTGGTCACAGATAAAACCACTTGGCAACGCTTAAACGCCTTCGTACATACCTTTACTTACACAACAAATTGTCCCGAAAACCTCCTTCCCTCTCAAGTCAAACTCCCTCCCCCAGCCGCTCCACCCACTCCCATCCTCTCCCCAGCTCCTCCCGCTCTCTCACCGGCTTCGCGCGTCCGCTCGACGACGGCCTGGCTGGAGGCGCTGCTCCCGACGTCGTTGTAGCTCTGCATCAGTACCTCGTACCGCATGTATTCCTCCAGCTGGTCCAATACGAACGAGTTGGCGTTGTGGTCTGAAAGTGAGTGAGTGAGTGAGTGAGTGAGGGAAATAAACTGAGGGAAAACGGGTGTCGGTGAGGGTAGTTCTGAGGGAAGATGACGAAACTAAAGGACGAAAAGAGGAAAGCGGAAGATACAAATTGGAAAGAAGAAAAGGAGAAAGGCAAGAAATGCTATCAAATTCAATAACGATGTAGCTCCATTCATACAAATGCAACAGCGTCATTTTCGGTTTAGTCCTGACGGCATCATTGAACGCTATAGCCGCATTCCCACAGCGCATAGGTAGAGCAGACTCTACCGTGGCCGGTTCTTATAGCCTTGTATCGCGGGGTGACCGCGCCGGGTCCCGGTCCCGACAGATCAATACGTCCGCTCTAATAACCGCCACCCGTGTTCCATTGTAGAGCTGCCGAAATGAGACACAACAGTCGACTGAACATTTATCAGAGCCGCACCGGACCACTGCGTTTATCAGCAGCTTTTCGAGGACTGGCAGCGCGAGATATCTGCACAGGGTGCTCCTCAGGGAAAGGTCTCCAGTCAAGAGGAGGTTTATGAGAAGATTACTGAGTAATAAACAGAGGATCTTCTCCTCAATTAGAGCGGAATCTCGCTCAAAGTCGCCATCAATCGTTTTCTGTGAGAGACAGACAGAAACGTCATCTGCAATAGAGGGAGTCACCTTGGAGCATCGCCCAAGGGGAAAACTTCGCAGAAGTGATATCTTTAGCGCCTTGATCCTGAGCTGAGACCTTGACCGAGTGCGGGGGCGGGGAAACAATAATCTACATGTCAGGAAGTCAGGAGAGCTAAACGCACGCCCACGGACATATCAGGGTTAAGAGCCGCCGCCGAGCCGAGTAAGTACATAAGTACAGCTACAAATAAGCAAGTAAGCAAGTGAGTCAGTAAGAGCATCGGCAAATCAAATAGTCAGTGAAAACCGAAATTCTGTCTCTGCCAGCATGCTTGTCCCATCGCTCAAAAACCAAACCAAACTGACGCCAAACTGCACTAACTTTTAATCTAAATCTGCGACACCAACTCATCTGGGCCACGACCTAAGAATTCCACTGTATAGATAATTCGGAAACCCGTCAAACTGTCGAACAAATCTGCATGCACTTTGCATTTTTGATTCGAACCCTGTGACAGTCTATAACTCCCGTTGCTGAGTCTCTCCCGCTCTCTCTGCACATACTCCCTCTCTCTCTCTCTCTCTCTCTCTCTCTCTCTCTCTCTCTCTCTCTCTCTCTCTCACCTTCGATCGAGATGGTATCCAGCTGAGCCCGCCCAGCTCCTTCACTCAACATTCTGAAGGAGATGTTGTACCCTCGCGCTACGCCGTACCATTCGACCTGCTGCAGCGGCTGTAGACAGAAAAAGAGGGGGGGTCAGTGGGGACGAGGGGTGCTGGGAGAGCCGGGAAAGATGGGGATAAGTTTTCCAACCCCATTTATTCGAGACTACGGTCCCCCACTGGAAGTTCATCACCGCACATGCATGGATCTACATGCCTACTGTTTGTTTGTTTGTTGGGGGTTAGGGGCGCGCCGACTGCATGCCTACTGCAGTGCGTTCCAGTCGGACCGTTTGCGCCCGCCCGACCCAACACACACCCCAGTGCGACTATCACCACGGAATAGCGACCCCTGATTACCGGGTTGGGGACACCAAGATGGGGACAACTTAACCTCCAGGCGCAGAAAGTTGGTAGTGTCACCGACTCATCTTCAAAGAGATAGCAATTGGCAACAGTCTAGCCCAGTGGCAAGATGATATTAAGAAGTCGGCTCGAAACTAAGTAATAGGTTTTAGCCAAATTACATTACATGCGCTTAGAACTCGAACTTCTTTCCTTGGAAGTCGACCCGATATATGTCTTCAAAGGAACATGAAATCAAAGCACTGCCACTCACCCAGTCGGGATCATAAACATCAACGCATCCAGTATCTATATTGTCCTCCGTATAAATAGCAAAAATAATATTTAGTGAAAATATCAAATTATTGACCTTTACACCACTAACAATGTGCAGCCAATTTTCTTCCTTTCACTCCCTCTCTCCATCCCTTTCTATTCTTCCACACATCTTCCCCCTCCCTTCCTCCTCTCTCCCCACCTATTCCTCCCACCCTGACCCTCCTATCCCTCTCTCCAGTATAACTCACAATCCATCCGACGCGCAGACTGGTAGCTGACAGAGCCCTCACAGTCACATTGTACGGCGCGTGAGCCGGGGGCGCCTGAATCGTCTGGAACTCCTGTGTCGGCTCTGAAGGCACGCTCGCTCCTGTGCGGGGAGAGAATGGGGCATTGTTAGGGAGTGGGTAAGGTATAAGGGGTGGGGACGCGGTTGGTCCAAAGCTGCGGTGGGAAGGGATGAGTTGTCAGGAAAAGTCAGGGGATAGGAACACACATTCAGCGTCCATCAATTCCGCTCTCTGAAACTCTTTATATACCCTCAATCTGACGTATCCCTTCAACGTTTTTTGAACTCCCTAAAACTATGTTCCATCTTTCCAACCCCCCAAATATCTCAAATATAGACTTCCAACACCATGCCTTTCACCAAACCTTCTCATGGCTTCCTCTGTCACCCTCCCTGATTATTGTTCAGTACGTACCGACCACATTATAGGCGACAATTCGGAGCCGATACTTCATGAAGGGCACCAGCTGGTCGACGGTGAGGGTGGTGGCCGCCGGGTCCACCGCAGTGAACACCTCCTCCCAGGTCTGGTTCCGGGCCGTGTGCGCCTGTGCAGAGGTCATATGGGGGTCATACAGAGGCCATATGAAGGTTGAGGGCCATAAGAGTGTAATATTGACTTACAAATGTCACAAAATAATAATAAAAAACGTAGTTTCACACAGCTGGTCATCAGGACGCATCGCATTCAAAACGAATTTCACCACTAACGAACGAAACCACAAGTAATGCAGATAAAATGCTCGCATAAGTCACATTCATCCGTCTGAGGCTTCCTCTGTTTTCATTCATTTGTGCCTTCCCTCATCTCTTCTTCCCATCATGCATCCTTCCCACCCCTTTCTCTTCTCATCCACCCCTCCCCCCTCCCCCATCTCTCACTCAGCGTACCTGCACTGCCCACTTCGTGATGCTCGAGTTCCCATCAAATCCAGGCGTGAACTGGAGCACCACGCTGAACGCCTGGATGTTGGACACCCCCAGCTTGGTAGGAGGTGACGGCAGCACCGGTTCCACGCCTGAGCGGAGGGTGGCACGACGCGCGGGACCGGCCCCCACCTCCGTCCAGGCCACCAGCTCCAGGCTGTAGGTGGTCGTCGGCTGGCGGAATAGGGGATAAAGTTAAATAACGGTGAGGTACTCCAAATGAGTATATAAAACATGTCGCAAGGCGTTGTTGTCCGTATCATAATTGAGTGGTCATACTTTAAGCGAAGCCCACACATCGTTGCTGTTGCAAAAAGAGAAAAACACGCGAAAGCAATCAGCCTAAAACTGCGCAAGCCCAAAGCACACCCTTCGCCTTTTGCTAGTGCAAATGACGGTATATCTATAATTAGCGTGACCTCTCACGTATAACGTAAGTCACGAAGTGCCCTTACCCTAACTAGCGCTTCCCTCTTCTTTCATTACCCCTCCGAATTCTCACCTGCAGATCGTTGACCTCCAGCCTGTTAATCTCCGCGGACACATTCCTCTGATCTGTCTCCTCGGGCCGCCCCTCGACCGTCCAGCTCAGAGTGTATCCGGTCAGTATACCGTTCCGCTCCTCAGGCGGGGTCCACAGGACGGTGACGGAGCGGTCGGTGACTGACTCGAACTGCATACTGGCCACCGGGCCCGGTACTGAGGGGACGGACAAACGGTAAATGTAAGATTAGACTATGGTAAGATTATAAGATGCAGTTTACAATCGCATAAGCTGGAGGTCATAGCGTTATATATCGGGTGCGGATTTCATAATTTAGTCCAGCCAAGTCATTCTCCATGTCTGAGCATGTCCTATCAAACATGCCTGAGAGTAAAATGGACAAAAGAGACAAGAAGTAACCAAGCAAAGTTACTTTGAAACTACCTCACATGTTCACTTACTTAAACGGTGGCACCTCGTATCTTGCCAATAGATGAAGCCAAAAGTGTCAAGAAAAGATCCACCCTAGCATCCTCCGAATCGCCAGAGTATCATAACATGTCCTCTCCTGTCCCTCTCTCATCCACGACCCTGTGCTCCTGTCTCCCATCCCTCCCTCTCACCATCTTGCAGTGTAGTAACCGCCACGGGCCCACTCCTCGCTCCATCCCCGGGTGAGGTAAAACACAGCACGGTCACATTGTAGGCCGTGTAGCGGCTGAGACCCTCCAGCAGCGCCGACTGACGAGCCAGGGGGTCCAGAGGAGATGGCGCCACTGTGGCGGTCACCTCCGGACCGGTGTCGGTGGTTGACGGGTCCTCTGTGGAGGAGAACAGAAGACGGTTAGAAGTGGCGTGAAGTAATTATGTCAATAGAAGTCAAGATAAATTGGAAGAGGCCAGGCTGGGCTGAGTCAGAAAACAGATGAAGTTAGCGTCGAATCCTTTGGGGTCAGCAGAGTCATAATGGGGATAGCGAACTGAGTCGTCACGGTAAGAAAATATGAAGATATACTTTCACAATATCCTAATTTCAACGATAACTACTTTCGCGTTGGTCAAACAAAGACTGTAACAGAAGAGCAGTAATCAACCAGACCCTACCCTAACACATTTACTGAGACGGAACCACTAGCCAGTAGACCCTAGCCCCACGCTCTACACTACAAATCACTATCTCGCAAACCCTCCTCGCTTCCTCCCTCCCTCCCCCACCCGCCTACCACTCTCCCCCGCCCGCTCTCACCGGTCCAGGCCTGCAGCTTGTACCCCTGGTTGATGCCGTTGATGAGCTGAGGGTCGGGCGGTATCCAGCTCACACGCACTGACGTCGACGACACGGGCTCCGCCTCCACCGCTGTTGGCGCCGCCTCGGGCACTGTGGGGGAGAGGATACGTAAGAACTACGCGGGAAGTGCGGAGCTTGGACTCAAGACGTGACTTGACAAAAGAGTAGCTGTGTCCCTGTGGACAGAGATTACGAAAAAAATGCGCTGACGGACAGTGATGTCATGCAAATAGCGAACATTGTCTTATCGTGGATTTTTCTCTCACTAATCCTCGCTCTCATTCACGTCTCACATTCAATGCTTGTGTGTACGTGTCTCTCTGCTCTGCCTGTCTGTCTGTGTCTGAATGCGTTAGCCTATCTTTCTTTATACCACTTCCCCTATCCGTTCGTCTATTTTTATGCAGTCTTTCTCTCCCTCCCTCCCTCTCTCCCCCTCGTTTCTCACCTCCTTCTCTCGTTTTAACCGTGATGGACTCGCTGAAGACCCCGGTGCCCTTGTTGTTGTACGCCGCCACCTGGATGTCATAGTCCTTCCACGTGATCAGGTCTCCGATCAGGTAATTGCGCTGCGCCTGAGGGTAGGTGACAATGGCGAGAGTCAGCTCTCGTGAACTTCGGAAACAACCATAGAGTATTATTATTTCTATTGATTGATTAAGCATTAAACACAACTTAACTTCCAACTCATCTCCTAAACTGTAAACTTCTGCCCTTGCATCCTCACAGTCACCGTGTCCTTCCTTCTCATAGCATTTCATTCAACAGCGTTGCTAAATGAATTGCCCCACCACCCTGTCGTTCCCAGTTCGTACCTCGTTACTAATATTTCGGCTGCTCCAGGGCGCGTTGGTGTACCCATGCAGCCTGTATCGTAGGATGTAGCCGAGCAGCTGTCCGTTCCTGTGTTCATCCCGAGGCGTCTGCCACTGGGTCATGATTTCCGAGCTGCTTCGAGCTGAGCCAACAAGGCCCTGCGGCGGGCCCGATGGGGCTGTGGGAACGCGGGTCAGGTCAGGTCGGGTCAGCTCTGGTCAGGATCAGATCAGTTCGTCAGTTACACTTGTGATCAGCCAACTACTATAATAAAATATGCAGTATTAATCGACGATGCACAATCAATAACTATTTACACACAGTTAACATAAACACCTCCATTCAACTGAGACCAGTTAGAAGTGCGGCACCGATTCAGCCAGCCTCTCTTAACCCATCTAATGCCCACGACATTTCCCCATCCATCCCATCCCTCCCCCCCCCCCGCCCCCGCCTCCCTTCATTCTCACATCATTTTTTCATTTATTACCTCATCCGTTCATTCTTATGCACTCATTTATTTCATTCATCCTTTCACGTGCCCTGCCCCTCCTCCTGTCACCTACCTTCCTGGGGCAGCAGCACTATGTTACTGGGCCGGCTACTGCCTCCCTCGCCCACCGCGTTCACGGCCGATACTCTGAACTGGTAGGCCGCCGAGGCCGTCAGACCGGTCAGGGTTACTTCTCGGACCTCGGCAGACACGTTGGCCAGCTCTGTGGCCCAGGTGTCGCCCAGTTCGGGCGCCGAGCCGGTTACCATACCTGCATGGAAGGAAGATGGGGCGTTACCAGAGGGTTTCCTACCATAACTCGGGACTTCATACCAGAAAGTTGCAGAAAGGCTAGAGTGTCACTATAAAAGGAATCATGGGAGATCATGGAAAGTTATTACGCCTGAAAGTCAATATAAGAAACAGCGGTATCTAATGATGTATGGGTATGGATAGTCAACTGATGACCAAGCGGAGGGCGCGCTATCCAATCATAAAAACAGGTTGTCATTGCTGGGCATGGGCATATAAGTAACTTGGCAGGTCGCCACACATATCTATGCTATAACAAACATGTCACTGTATCTCATACGAGCTTATCGCCTAACCCAGTCCACACGCCGCTACTTACTACTGATAGGCACTCGTCGACTCTGGATGATGAACTTGCTGATGGCCGAGTTGCCGTCAAAGCCGGACGTCCAGCTGACTTTGACCGATTTCTGTAGTGAGGGCACCTTCTGGGCCCGGACGTTGGTAGGCGCGTAAGGTAGTTCGACCACAACCAGTTCGGCAGAGCGGGAGGCGTTACCGCCCGACGACACCACCTAGAGGGAAGAGAACATAGAAGGGAAGAATCAGTAGTGCATTCTAACGGGAGGGAATCTAAGACTCGACTCTGGCTACTTGTTAACTCCTACACATCAAATGTAGGGCATTGAGGGCAGTTTCCGTAAAGCAGGTATTTTTTAATGCAACAACTGCTGCATTAAACTCAACTGCTTCTTAACCAGACTATGTCTACCCTACTTCTTACAAGTATTCCCATCTTCTCTCTTTTGGTTCTTCCCTGTCTTCACCCAACTTGTCTAACACCCCCTTCCCCCCCCCCCCCACACACACACACCACACCGACTATCTTCTCTCCACTCTACAAACTTGCCTGTCTCTTTGTCTCTCCATCTAAATTCTACATCTCTCCTCCCTCCCTTCTCCCCCTTCCCTTTCTCACCTCACACGTATACCGCCCCACATCAGCTGCGCGCGCCTCGCGAATCTCCAGTCCTCCATCCTCCAGAAGGCGAATCCGAGAAGACGCCCGCAGTGGCCGGGCGTTGTGGTACCACGTGACCTGGACGTCTACTCCAGGGGAGACCGACGTGCCGCACTGGAGACTGGCCACGTGACCGAGAATTACCCGGGAGTCGACCGGTGGCTGGATGATCTGAGTCCGAACTGAAAACGGGGAGGTCAAAGGGTCAGAATATGGGTCGACGAAATTAGAGCTTATTCCAAAACGACTGATATTTCAGCTTTCGTACAATTGAAATATAGATGCTCGTGAATTTCTCGCATTCCTAGGCTTCGGAATACATTCCAAAAATAATGGTCAGACACAGAGACATAGCTGCAGTCCAACGAACATATTCCTTCATTGGCTGAGCAGTACACGAATGTGTTCAATAAACATTTAGCTACATAGCGCACCGATTTTGTCTTACGACTTGTTCTACCCCTTCTATATTTGATGGACTTAAGATGTAAAGGCCTCATCAGTCATCTCTCACCCATTATATCTTCAACAAGCGTTTGTTGTTGCTATGTCCTCAAGCGTCCCATCTAACCCACCCCCGCAGAACTCACCCATAATGCTCAGCACAGCCGATGCGGACACCTGCCCGACTTCATTAGCTCTCTGGCACGTATAGAGTCCACTGTTCTCTGGCCGTACACCGGTCACCAGCAGGTCGCCTGTCTCCAGGACCTGTAGACGGCCACTGCCCACGGTGTCCTCCAGCAGTTTACCTGGGGGGTGCGGGGTCAGAGGGGTCATATGGAGTAAAAGGGTCAGTGAGTTGAGAAAGTCACAGGGGTTACAAGGGGTTCTCAAGGGTCAGGGAACACAAAAAGGAAGCAGATCAGAAAGAAATGAGACCGGTGAGTGGCATTGCAACGCTTGCCATACAAGAGAAAGTGGAAAGTCACCAGATTACAAAGAGGATTTCAACATGCAGCACACACTATTGAATAGCCACTGCGCATCGGGCGGCGGGGCAGCACTCACCATTGAATAACCACTGCGTGTCGGGCGGCGGGGCCCCCTCGGCCCGACAGGAGAGCGTGGCGTCCTGTCCGTCCAGTACGGTGACGTTCTCTGGAGGCTGCAGCATCACAGGAGCAGAGGCTGGAGAGGCGGGACGGCAGGGTCAGGTTAGTAGGGGTCAGGTGAGCGGCGGTGAGGTCAGTGGGGTGAGGTCAGCAAGGGCCAGGTCAGCGGGAGTGAGGTCCAGAGGGGTCAGGTCAATACAAAGTCAAAAGCTTGTCATCAGATCAAACCACGCAGATTGTATAAAGCAAATGCAGCCACTCGCCATTTTGATTTTTTCACCAATCACACCAAAAAACCAGAGCACCTTAAAAAACACACACATGACACAAACTTATAGGCATATAATTTATCTCCAATCGTCCTCCGTTGCTCAAAACCATCATCAGTTACTTCCAGGGGGAGGCACTCGCCTTGGCCGTATATGGGCCAGAATGTCTAACGATTTCCGCCATGTTGTGTATACCAAAGTCTTGAAAAGTTGATCACTGCAATCAAACTGCAAGCATGAAGCAGCAGCACTTTTGAGTAGTGTACCTCTCACTAAACTGCACCTCTGCTACCGTATGTACATGCAATTTATATTTCTGGTATACACAACATGGCGGAAATCGATAGACAAAAACAAGTCACCAATGCTCCTTCCAGTATATATTAGAGTTCAGTGGTTACTTCCCAACACATCACGGCACAAGACAAAACAATAAGGTGCTGTGCGAATCCAGTGAACAAACAAACACCTCCACACGTGAGTATGTAGCCTGGTGCGTACGCGGGAGATGACAGGGTGCATTACAAATAAAACGTGCTGGTGTCAGTTTGAGGCAAATGCAGGTGCAAAAGGTAAAGCACGCTGTGGTGACCGACACAACAAGCAAGCAGTCTCGTAATACGAGCAGTTTGTAGACGCCTGACAACTTATTCACCCACCACCAATCACCTGCAACATCGGTAAGCAGCTACAGCATAATTGCCAGGGTGCAAGTGAAAACAGTAACAAAAAATAAAAATAAAACAAAAATAAATAAAAAAGGAGATGAAGGGAAGCAAAAAAAAAAAAAAAAAACGTAAGAGGTAAAATAGCGTGGCAGAAGATAACAATTTCCAGCAGCTTACTGGCGTCGGCCTGTCTGGCCGTGAGCCGGGGCGGCGCCCGGCGGTGAGGTACCGTCACCATTCGCGACAGAAGCTTGGCAAACACCAAAGCTGCGGCGTGACGTCATCCAGAGGGTTAGTGGGGGTACCATGAGCTGTGGGGCTTCACCGTTAGTAAGGGAAGGGAGCTTCCAGCGTTAATGGGGAAGGCCATCTTCAAACATTAGCGGCGATAAGCCGCACACAGTGAAGACACCCAACACATCAAAAGTAGTTAGCCGTAGTCGAAGTCGAAGAGGTCAGATAGAGACCGGCAAAGCACACGTTTGGGAGACAATGCGATAGGAATTACCAAAGCGAACCCAGCCAGTAAGCACATAGAGAATAAGCGTTAAGCCTGAAGCAACACAGACACATGATGAGAATTGCCATGGGAAACAGCATTGCTGGGAAGGAGACCCGGTCAGGAAACATAATACCGGGTATGTGTCTGCAACATGTGTCGTAACTCATAAGGTCTACGGTTTCTGGTATTCAGTTTTGGGCGACAAGTGGGTGTCACAGTAATCCTATATCCCGCGTTACCGTAACGGCGCACAACTGTGTAACGTGACGCTGCCCGCGGGCGTGACACGTGACGGTGACGTCATGGCATGCACACGTGTCGACATACGATGCGTTACAATGGGGAGGGGAGGCGTAGTGGAGGGGGAAGGGATCGTATATGACTGAGCTCCACCCTCTTCCCGGGCTTGCAAGACCCATATTTTAGCTGAAACCAGCCCGAGCCAAACCTGATTGCTAGGAAGACATGGAACAACTTTTAACTCGACATTTTCTTCTGGGTCATGCGGGAACAACATTTAGCTCCTCCCTGCCCTTCAGTGTGTGTGAGACAATATATACAACACTAAAGGCCTTCAACAACACCTTTGTACGCACTTTTCACTCTGAACCGCGTGTAAACCATGTGTTCATGCGGCTTAGTACGTACATTTCACCCTCAGCCACGTGTAGGCCGTGTGCTCCCCCGCGGGGTTGGTGGCCGTACACTGGTACATTCCCGTGTCAGATATCTTCAGATTGCGGATCACCAGGCTACCGTTGGCCGTGAGCGTGTATCTGCGGAAAAGACAAGGGCAGATAGTTAGATGACAAATAATCGCTGTTGATTTAGAAACTTCGGAACTCCTGTATCGTGCAGTTTAATTGTGCACATTCATGCATCAAATTGTACCGGAAGTAATGGCAAGAATGAAGAAATGAAAAGCTACAGATATGCCACGTCTTTTACGTACATTCACATATGTACACACATGACACATGTGCAGGATCTTATTGTAGAATGTAAAAGGAAAAGTGTCATTTAGACATAACATAATAAGAGTACCACGCCCAGTCTCGAACCTGCACTTTCCGCGTACTGCACCCACCTGCCCTCGGTGTTGAGTGATCCCACATCAACTGTGTCCTTATACCAGGTGAGCTGGGGCTCAGGCCGACCGCGGCTGGCACAGGTCAGGGTCACCGTTCGACCCAGGTCACCCAGAGTCTCCGGTGGTAACCGCGCGTCGATGTGAGGCGGCTCTGAAAGGAAGAGAGTGGAGTGAGAACGAGTGAGGGAGGGTTGATCTATTCTGTATTAAAGCAGATAAATGGAGATCAACGATGAACAAGCTATTAGACACTGAGTTTTGTACTGCAATACGCTCTCCATAATTTCCTGTTTCTTTCAGTTCCTTCAGTAGTTTCTTTCTTTCTTTCTCCTACATGTCTTCCAAACGGACTTTCGTACTACATTTTACGTCACGTTAAGTTACTTTTGGTTACATTGAGCTATCCATTCATAATAGTCATCGATCCAAAGCACTAACAAACCAGCCTCCAACAGGATTCGAACCTCCGACCTCCTACTCACCTAACACTGTCACGCTGGCCTCCGCAGTAGCCTCAGGGAAGTTCGCCGACCGGAGCCTGGCCTGACACGAGTAGATCCCGGTATGGTCCTCTCCCACGGCCAGAAGGGACAGTGTTCGGTTCCACAGGTCATCAAACGAGTAGGCCACACCGGCCTGGCCAATAGGCGTGCCGTCCTTGTACCACGTGGTCTCCAGGCTGTACAGGGGCCTGCCGGAGTCGAGAGTGATGTCAGGTCACGTGGTAAGTCAATGAGAGGTGTCAAACATATGGATTTTAAACATAAAGCACACGTCAAAGAAGGGTTCGACACTGAAACAATTATAATGCTACCACTGGCTGTTACTTCATTGGACACTGCTTTTCGAATTTATTTATTTCAACCAGTGATTGAGCCTTAGCTCACTTTTAATGTCTTCTTCTTTCCTACTCCCTATTAGTTCTACTTCTCTGCTTCTCCTTTCTTTCCTTACTCTACGATTCTCATTCGCTCAAGCCCACCTCTCCTTCTCTCCTCCCTCCATCCCTCTGCTTCCTTAAAACCCTACTCAGTCACTCCTTCCTCCTCTGCCTAAGTCCGTCCTCCGACTCCCTTTCCCTCCCCTCCCCCTCCCTCCCTCCCTCCCTCCCTCCCTCCCTGCCCTGCCTTTCCTTCCTCTTTCCTCCCTCCCCTCTCCCCTTCTCTCACCTGGCGTTGGCCACACAGCTCAGTTTGGCGATCTCCCCCTGCAGTGGTCGCTGGTCGGCCGGTGGTACCACAATCTGAGGCGGTACGTCGTCCTCACCGCCTGCCACCACACGCAGCGCCACAGGGCCGCTGGTCTCCTCCGTACCGGCCTGCGTGTTGGTGGCGCGCGCTCTGTGGGGGTGAAGAGGTGGAAAATATTGAATAGAATAGTACATCTATAATAGTGTGGAAGCTGAGAGGGCCAGGAAATCAAAATCAAACAGCTGCAATAGCAAAATGTCAAGGTGGTACTTACAAACAACTGCGAGGAAAGAATGTCGAGGTGGTTCTCATAAAACAATGCGAGGAAACAACCATATGAAAAGGGATATTCCTTTATTAAAATATGGTTCAGCGATAAAGATGGAAAATCGGCTTTGAATCACCTGATCACCAAATCCGACACACCATGCTCAGTTCTCAATCGCATCTAGAGCCGGGGTTTTAGGGGGCGCTTCAGCTCATGTAGGCTATCGAGTCCCCCTCCCGAGCTCAAACTCTCACCTGTATTCCTGTTCATCCTCCGGCTCAACACTCAGAATCACCAGCTGTTCGCGAGACGTCACCGCATATTTGATACCGTACAGCGTCGGCTGCCTGGCGGTGAGCCACCGAACTGAAGGTTTCGGTCGGCTGTCGATAGGTGGCAGGTCGAGCACGGCAGCGTGCCCGCTCTGCACGGCGATTGTGCGAGGCTCTGTATCGTTGAACTGAGACATGTCTGAAAAACGGGTGGTTAGAGGGTTAGCCGGCGGATGGAAGTCGAGAAAAGATGTCTGCCTTAGCGTTGATGATGACTATGACGCCTGACGGGTTACTTAGGTAAGGGCTGAAGCCTGAATGCGTTAAAGAATGACTTTTTACCGAGATGGCAATCATTCGTAGCTTTCGCTAAGGAATTCCGCGCTCCGTCCCGAAATCAGAGCTGGTCCAAAGAACTACAACACAAACTGCCATCCCTCCCTCTGCCTCCCTGGGCTACTTACATGCAACCTCGACGTGCGCCTTCTCGGAAAAGATGGCGCCAACACTGTTCCTTGCAATACACTGGTACTCTCCGGCGTCTGCCCGCCTCATGTCGGGGATTCTGTAGAAGTTCTCCGCCGTGAAGTCGCCGAGGAACTGTCCGTCTTTCAGCCAGCGATATTCGGGCTGTGGAGCACCTGGAACCCGCGCACAAAACACCGTCAGGGGGCTGGTAAGAGAACCAGCGTGGTACGAGCATGATATGAGAGTAATACCACCGTGGTACAAGCCTGGTAGGAGTACCCGCGTGGTACCAAAACGGTACCAGCGTGATAGCAGCGGGGTAAAACGGCGTCGGGTTCCAGGGTAGCATTGCTACCAATTTCTTGCTTTTTTAATAAGCAGTGTCAAAAGTTGTATCAAGTTTTAATAGAAAGCATAGCATCAAAGAAAAGAGCGATAGTGATCACGATGTTACCATGTGAAAGGGTTGAAATGGTAACCTTGCAGCCATTGTGATGGACGCGCATGTCGTGCGTTAGTGGACACCGGGTGCACGGACACATTGCCGTTCCACGGGTACTGCGGTAGCTGGAAGTCGCCGCCGGTGAATATGAGGACGGTGACCGGCGGGAGGTGCAGGGCTGTGGCCAATGTGGTGTCTGAATGTCACGGCCAGCGAATGGGGCTCGCGGCTCTGGTTGTGCCCGACCGTCCCCTCGGTGTAGATGTTGTTCTCAGAATGTCGGGAATCACGGCCCTGGGCGGTTTGTGTGTGTGCAAACACCGAGATATGTGTCGTTCGCGGCGGCGGCTCCGTGGGCCCGCCGGCCCTAAGAGTGGACGCCCCGGACTTCACGGCCGAGTTCGACCCAGACAGTGCCGAGTGGACAGTCGGCTGGAAGTGGACGAGTGGCGTCGGTCCCGACTGTCTGTGTAACACAGTAACGGAGTACAAGGTACCGGTAACCGCGCGGCCGGCATTCAATGCAGAACTCACTGAGTGGATCAACAATGGGTGGTTGCAGCCCTATGATCAGGGGACAGACTCTGCGCCTCGGGGACTGCTCCCACTGATGGCGGTCGAACAGCCGGCAACTAAGGTCCGGCCGGTGCTCGACTACCGGGAGCTAAATGGCCACGTGACCGCTCACACAGCCGACGCTGACGTGTGCGCCGACCAGCTTCGAAAGTGGCGGCGACAAGGGAGCCGCGTGGCGGTGGTCGACCTGCGAACGTGCGTTCCCAGCTCGAGGGTGAGTGCTTCGAGGATCTTTCCATGGCGCTGCGCGAACTATCAGTCACGTGTAAGTCCTTTGAGCAGTGCCGTGACAGTCCCCCACGCGACATAATCGTGATTTCATTCAGAGACCAGAGAGTGATGAAGACGCTGCATGCCTTTCCCCGCCATTCCCGGCTGCCAGATATCCTCTGCAAAACACACCTCCCACTTGGGTACCAACAACCCGTACTTGTAACACCCACTTTATTTTACCGTCTCCACCCGCTTGTGTTACTCGATGTTTATTTTACCGCCTCTTTTTCGTTTTCATATCATATAGCCATGTCTCTCGTTCAGCGCCGGCCGCGCGGGGCCGACTTTGCCGACTCTGCCGACTCTCCCGAGCTCCGGCTGAGCTGCGCCAACCCCGCGTGCCGCGCCGCCGCTCAAGGCATGTCCGTCACGATCGCACGCATGCCCCTCTTCGGAGGATTTAGCGGCGCGCGCTATTCAACTATCTCGACTCCGACTGTTACTGAACAAAGCCTTAGATCTACCGTTTACATACTTGTCCATCATAGTTTAGTCACACTTAGTTAGTGCCAGGTGCGCCGCGGCCAGTACATCGGTGTAAACTCCGCCCCGTACCCATTTTTCTAGCCACTAGCGCACTGTAACGTTTCATTTCCGCTCATCGCTAACCACTAGGATCGTAGGACGTGGAATGCCCGAGACTAGCCCGGGACATTCCCACCAGTGCAGAGGCAGGCTCCGGCTGGCTCTCAACGGTGCACAACAGTGAAACTCGACTCTGGTGACCAGTGGCCCAGTGACTGTTTGCCTCTGGTCTTCAACCTGATCTCCGCTCTGCTCCGCTGTCTACAAGTAAATACAAGAAAATATAACTATCTTCAACGTCTTTTCTTCGCGGGTCAGCCTCACGTCGGCCGTGCCCGACCCAGCACGCTAAAACGGCCGCCTATACACTGGTGCCTCCGACCCGGGTCGCGATCGTCTAGATGTCGGCTGAGCTGCGCAAATACATCAACCTACTCGCAGCCAAAATCTATATTGCCGTCGGGACCGCCGAGGTCATTGCGGACCTCCTGTCCGAGTCTGAAACGGAAGACTCGACGCCGACGACCGACCCACCAGCTCAACGGAGCCAGTGTTGCTGCCGTCCCCAGCCGCGTTGCCTGAACTGCCAGCAGCCAAAGCAACCACAGCAGCTAAACGCATCTACAAGGCCGACTAACTGCGCAAAGACAACCACCACCGACACCGAGCCACACGCGCCACCTCCGACCTCTCGGCGCTCGACTACATCTTCTTGTTCCGGACCTCCAACGCTTCACTTCTCTTCACCGAATCAAAGCGACTGCCCCGCAGTCCCGGCGAGCACTCGCTTACTGAGGGCGGCCAGAGCCGCACGACTCCGCCGGATCACCGCCGAACACCAGGCGATACAAGCCGCGAACGCCCAATCCGCAGCAGAAGAAGAATCACTCGTATCTTCGCTGAATACCAGGCACAACTAGCCGCCAACACCCAGGCAGCTGCAGACGCCGGTTGGGACGGTCCCGAGCCCCCACCTGCTCCGTACGCCTGGACGGTTTGAACCCCGCCCATATCGGACGCGCCGACTGGCCCGACAGACTCCGCTTAAAAGGTACTGGTCTCACACAGTGGTGTGATTTTTCAAGAAAATATAACTATCTTCAACGTCTTTTCTTCGCGGGTCAACCTCACGTCGGCCAAGCCCGACCCAGCACGCTAAAACGGCCGCCGTTAAAAAAAAACGGCCGCCGTTACATACTGAACGCCTGACACAGGCGCCAAGACGTCAGTGCAGCGGTGTCCCTATAAGATGGGTTATAAGAGAGAAGATCTGGTGCCAACAAGAAGCAGACTCCTGGACGCTAACAACCGGGAGATGCAATGGTTCGGTACTGCAACATCACTCTTCAGCTCGGGAGCGTCAAGCACGCCGTCGAAGCTGCAGTCGTCAATAAACTGAACGGCCATCTGCTTTCCTAGCACGACAGCATCGGGCTTCAAGTGAGAGCTACCCTCAACAAATCCTCTGCATAAGAAAGCAAGCAGCCGTTGGAGTCTCAACTTATTACTGATCCGACACACCCACACCCAGTGCCCTCGCTTCTAGATCTCAGAGGCGGCGGACAGTGCGGAAGGGTGGAAACGAAGCGACAGGCTGTGGAAAATGATCGTGCGGTCGCAGAGGTGACGGACAAAGCGAGAGAGTGTGAATCGAGCCTTGCGATCCATAACCGACGTTACACCTGTTTATATTACTTCTTGCTTTTTTACTACCTAAAAGAATGTCTTGAAAGACAGCCTTTAATTACTGTTAAGTGCTATCCTAATGACCAATGTAGGCTTTTGAAAGAAGGTCTTCAATAACCGTAAAAAATGGCTTGCCAATAACTGGTCAGTGTCTGTACGCCGACGAGGCTACAACACTGAGACCCGACGGCACTTCACGCTGCTGGTAAGCTGGGTCGAAGGTAGGTTCCGACACTAATGACCAGGGTAGGCTTTTGAAAGACAGTCTTCAATAACTGTAAGATGCTCTCCTAATGACCAGGGCAGGCCGCCCATCGTGCTGCCCTCAGCGCCAGACACAAGTCGGACGAGAAGGTAAGGCTATTTTGGACATATCGCAGCCGGGAGGTGACAGCATCAATGCCGGTATCGATCCCGACTAATTCACAGTCATGTACAAGCCCTACAAGTCCGTCGACGAAGCTATCCGTCTCATATTCGCCGTAGAAAGCGCTGAGGCCCTCCTCCACGCATTGTATGAAGTCGAGCTCGTCTCCACAGTGCGCTTCAGGGTCATTTGGGTATTGGGTATGACGATAAGCAATAGTGGCCAATGTCATACCCTGGACAAGACCAACATGTTATTAAACCGTGGAGACCATGAGAGCATTATTCATAAGAACCTGGTAGAATCCCAAGGCAGCGAATTCTACACAAGCTAATGTAGGGACGATCGTTGTAGGTGTTTTGCTTTGTTGTGTCGCGTCGGCCACCGCCGAGTCGGCGCGCGGTGCGCGGGCCGGCCCCGAGCCGGTGACCCTGCAGGCGCTAGCACGGTGTGATATGTTTTTGACGCGCGCGACCTATCGGGAGAGAGCGGCAAAACCTTTCTCGGGCGCGGGCGCCGCTATCGCCACAGCGACACCTACCGTGAAACGTCGGCCCCAGTGGCCCCAGTGTGCGCCCGTGCCCCGCGCCGTGAATAACCTGTTGCTGTGTGCAGCTAGGTTGGCTCGTTTTCTTTGTTGCGCCCCATCTTTTGGGTAGCCCTTGTTTTCTTCTGAATGGTGAGTACGACCCACGTGCTGGGGAATCGCTGGACCACCGCGGTCGGCTCATATTTTTCCCTTTTGCGTCGTCTATGCGTACGCAGGCGGCGATTCCGCCGCCACGCGCTCCGTCTCGCCAGCCCGGCTGACGCTACGGGAGACTTCGGAATCCTCTCTCATTTTCTTATTCTTCTCTCTCGCAAAGTGCTCGCCGCGTTACTGTGACTGTCGTGCCCCCTTACCTCCTAGGGTGCCAGTTGCGCGTGGGTGCGCGTGGCCGTTACGGTATTCTGCGGCGCGCATGACGTGGGGTAAATGTTACAATACATAGACCCTTACCCACCCGTCATGGCTTTGCGAGCGCAGCGGGACGGAGAAATGTTTTTGTGCGCGAAAGGGAGGAGCGAAGGAGGCAAGCGGAGCCGGAACCGTGCGCCACCGTCAGTCGATTGGTTTAGCCTCGGATCGGTTGATGGGGCGTATCCATCTCGAGCTAGTATGTACTATGTAAGCGCGGGGTGAAAGCAGCTCGGGGGCTTAGTGTCTGCTACCCGAGGTGGTGGCAACGCTGAGCACCCGACCGCTCTTCACGCTGCTGGCATCTGGCTCGAGGTAGGTTCCGACCACGCAGGGATTGTCACGG